CCAATCAGAATATCATTTATTTTATGGATAAAAAATTACGCCAATCAAAGAGCCGTTTTCTGAATATTTGGTGGGAGCCGTCATTCATCTATGGAAAATTTTTGTGACAGGATGAGTTATTTGCTTGAAGTGAGCTTTTTACGCAGAAAGTAATTATATTTTTATTTTATTATTAAATTTACAAATTATTATTAACCTCATTTATTTAATAATTCATTAAACATTATGATAATGAAATTAATTAAACTTTTAATTTTTTTTACATTTTTTCCTTTTATCTATTTGATAGTTGTTAATACCTGTTGTTTGAGCCGGTATTTGAATTCATTTATTGTTTTATTTTAATATTGTTTTAATTTTTTTACAGTTATTTTTTGATTTTTAATAATACAAATTATCATTCGATTATTAGGATGATTTCAAAAAACAAATAATATAACGTGTTATTGTTAATGATTTAATGACAATAATTTTTTTGCAAATCTGTTAAGTTTTAACAAAGATAGAATTATTTACGTAGTTTTTTTATTTGTATTGAAACAAAACAATAGTTCATAAAAATCAATTCATTTTATCAAATTAAATTTATTAATAATATTTTTATTAATCATATATATTTACTTTCATATATTATGCTTAAAATTTAAGTATAAGTTTAATTTTTTATAAGAAATTAATAATTTAAATAAATATTATTAAATCATAGACAAGAAATGGAAGAGGGGGGATATAGAATAGATTAAAGTGATAAATATAAACAAATCAAACAATCTTCAAAATAATTTATTAAAAATGTTGCATACTCGATATTCGAATCGGTAATTAATAATGGTATAATTAGTAACTATATGGATGTCATGTGAGCATGTTTCCGGAGGTTCTGTTGAAATTTTTTTATGTCTGGCGGTAATAGATCCCTCATCGTTTTTATTAATCATCCTAGAAGAGTCCTTCAGGCCAAACGGTACAATTAATTGGTCATTAACTAACATAATCAATATATTTATATCATAATATATTAATTAAATTATTTTTATCTTAAATTCCATAATAATATTATTCGATTTGTTAATAATATCTCATTGAAAATTTTATTAAATCGTCAAAGTACTTCTTTTCTCTTTTATTTTTAATAAATGTCATTGGCCTGACAGACGCATCTATTAATGTTTTTATGTAATGTTCAATTTCGTAAACTTGTATTGTGCACGAGCGCATGCGCACATATGTTATTGTCGGGCCTGTTCTTGATTCTATTCGCTCACTGTTAATTTAATAATTTATGTATATCGTAATGCATTCTTTCGTTTATGATTATTTTCTTGCAATAATAGTGTCATCAAATCGAGAATTTCGCTATCTCGAGGTATTGAGTGTATATTCTTTTTTTTTTTTTGCGACTTCGTGCTGCGAATAATTTATGAAAGAAAAATTGGGGAACAATCTAAGATCTATTAGAGTGAGTTTTCGAACAATTCGAGTGCAAACAGTTGAACGAATAAAAAGAATCATTGTGCATAAAAAGAAAGAACAACGAAAGTAAATAATATATATATTTGTAATAGATGTAAACGCATCTAAAACTTCAAAATTAAAAGTTATATCAAATATTACGTAATAATAGTCGGTAATATTATAATAAATGTTTGATTGGTTTAAAATAGAAATATTTTAAAAGAAATTAGGTAGAAAATATTTATAAAGCAGAAAAAAGTAAGAGTAGAAAAGAAAGATAGATTATTTAAGATATGAAATAAAAAAAAAAGGATGTCATATCAACGATTTACCGACTGTAGTACAATTTACCGACGAAGTATGGTATGGTGTTAAATATGATTCAATATGAAAAATGATGATAGAGAAAGCGATAGTTACTTATTTTTCACCGCTTGGAATGATAATTATTGCGGGACGCCGAAGCGTTTCAAACATATAAGCGTTTTCGGCAGTCTTCGGGAAGAGTTCGGAACTCACGCAATTTCTGTGTCACTAGATAAACCAGGCCTGCTCACCGGATATATTCTTCCGGATTCCCAATCTTTTTTCTATACTTATTATAGCATAGAAAATGCATGATAATTCGTTAATTATACATCGATTCTTCAATGAACAAAGTTAGAGCACAAAATGAGAGAAAATGATATATTTCTAAAGAGAATTAAGTTTAGTTCAGCAGTACCATATATAGATGGAGCTATAATTATCTCTTTGACTAGCGTTGCTTTTATTCCTTTTTCTTTTCTTATTTTGTACTGTAAATTTATCCTCTAAAGTATCGACTATACGATATGATTATTTTTACGCTGTTCACTACTCTATTTTTCTTTACTATAGCGAAGAATAATCGATTTGAGATTTCTATACGTGGACAGGCCTGAGATTAAACGCTGTACAAATTAATTCACAGAATTTTATAAACTTTGTCTTTATGTTATATCGTTCTTCACTTCTTGATTTTTTTCTTCCCTCTATTTTACGATTACGTTCATTCGTTTCTTTTCTTTTTTACGTACAATAATTTGTCGAGAAATTGTCGATTATTAAACTTAATCGTCTTGTGCTTTCTTAATTTTCACGATTATCGCTTTGGTAATATTTATGTACATAGAATCGCGCAAATTTTTCTTCATTTAAACGCGCATCTACCGAAAGTCGTTCATATTCAGCCTCTTTATTATATTTTAAATTCGTTTGTCCTCATTTATATAGTTTCAACGAAAAACTTTAATAATTATTGATTAATTTTAAACTTTAATTAACAAGCACTTTTTCCTATAATTATTTTTCTTTGGTATTAAAAATTATTAATTAAAAATAAAAATACCGAAATTAATTATGAGAATTTGATCAATCGATCAGTCACGTGACAATAAAAATAAATACCTGTGTATATGAGTTAATATTTAAAATTCAAATTAAAATAATTTAATAAACACACGTTGTTGAAATGAGAGGCAAACAATTATTTCGAGCATCGACTTTCCGTTCATTAATATCAGCGCGTTCATGGATATGACTTTATAATTCGTAATTAACTTCTAATCGTCTACATAGTTGTTATTCGTTTAACTTAGATCGTGATCTAGAATTATTTAAAACTCGATACATGTGTATTTTACGTTTTATTTACAATCGAGTCGCTCATAGTCTTATTTACATACGAACACCCATTCACACGTGCCATTGGCCCGTAACCGCGACGAAAATTAATAATTTTTCATTTCGAAAAATTAATAATTTTTAAAATTACGATCAATCACATTTATAATTAAAGAGAATACAACACGATCGAAAACTCAACGATTTGAAAATTTAAGAAAAAATTTGTGCACACAAGTTTCATTATCATCACCACTGTCTTTCAGAAACAAACGAATTTCGATCTGTCATCCTTCGAGAACAAAGAAATATGGATTAAATTTAAATCAATATAATTGTACAACTCGCGAAATCGATCGAATCGATAGTGAAATGCAGTGGTGCCAGCATGTTGTCCAAAGGATACGAGTTACCAGGGTTTGGTTTGTCGTCGATTCCACGGCCGATGGCCATCGTCCTGCGGGTGTGTCTAAACACGAGACTCGTGTTTTCATGCGCGACGTCAATAAAGATTTACCGATAAATTGCACCGTGCTTTGTGTATCGGAATACAAATCTTGCCAATAAACCTTTACTTCGTGCACATGTGAACAAACGTGCTTCCATTTGGGAGACCGTACTTTTTCCTCGTGTAAAACCTCGTTCATTTCTTTCAATTTTCGTTTGAAAAATTTGAAGAATCGTTTCTGCGTTAAATAATTCGATTTTTGTCCTTTTGAATCGTTAAAATTGGAAAATTAATCGAATGGGTATTTAGAATGGGGAAAGGAGATTATATTTTGTAAAATTTATAGGGGAAATTATTTCTTGTTTAGTAATGAAAAAAACAAATAATATTTTTCATTATTCTTTCATTTCATCATTCTCTTTTATTGTCAAATTGTCAAATAGAAATTTTGCAAAAGCACTTTGCTGATCCACTATGAGATTGAAAAATTAAATTAATTAAAATTTTGAATAAAATTATTCTAAGTAATAATTTAATCTCGAAGCTACACTTAATTATGATTATTCCATGTTTGAATAATAAATTATCCAATTATTAACTTGACGAAGTAATTTCAGTCAAAATTTTGCGCTTCTCTGAACATAATCCTTGATCTATGGAAAAATTTATTCACATATAAAATTCCCAACACTTTTTTCTTCTAGACATGCATTCAATTTTTTTTAAAAGATTATCAAAATATTTTAAAGCGATCAAAAGACTATTATTATTCATCGAATAATTAAAAAAGTATAGTAACGAAGAGTAAAGTAAAAATATATAAGAAAAAGACAAAAATATTTGACAAAAAATTATCGATTTCGATGAACGAAGTTGCACGTCGGAAATTGGCGACAAAACCACGAGGCACAACATTGGCGCAGGCCTCAGGCATCTGACAGTGATCGTTTCGTCGCTATATATCTCGACTCATCAAAGTCACGCTCGAGGGAAAAAGAGAACCGTGCCGTTTCTTAACTTTTTAGATCTATCGTCGGTGAGTACACGACTCCTTTGTATTTCGTTCTGTCCGTGTGATTTTTTTCAGGATTCTTCGACGGGAACAGGTGGAATCCAAAAACGAGAACTCGGCCGTGAGCGATCGTTCCGTAATAAATCAAACATATCATTCATGAGCAGAATATGTATGCTTGTCTTCTTCCTTCTCAACCTCCTGATTCTTTTTTTTTATCTCTCTATTAAATTTGATTCTTTTATATATTTCTTCTTTTCTCTTTGTTTTTTTCCTTCTTTCTTCTTCTATTGTATTATTGCTATTTCAATAACGTTATTGTATCAAAAACGTTTGATACAAATAAGACATTGTAAAAGATGTAATGATGATTTCGATTATTTTAAGAATAATTATTTCTTTTTTGGCAGCCTTTTTTTGGAAAAGTTTGATTGTTTATTATTTTTTTTTTATTCGACAATTTATATCTTCACGATCGATGATGTCCACGTTTCACTGGTCGACCGAATCTTTCAAGAAACGTATGGGTAAGTTCCATAAAATAAACGGAATGGCAGTGAACCGATATCACGCAACACTTTCGTCATAAGAGCAACACGATAAAACACGAAACTAAAAGCGTCAGTCTTCGATTCTCTGGAAATGTATCGCGGGATCTGCAAACTGAATAATCAAGAACAAAGATAGGTTATTTTTCTTTCTCGTTTTTTAAGTTGAATCCAACGATACTATTGGTCCCCGCAACACAAGAAACACGGATCACACATGAAGAAATGAAAAATATTGCGAAGACAAGATGATTCGTTGCACGAGTTCGTTCTCGAGCGAGATTAATCGTATATATAAACATCGATTTACATCGAGCGGAACGTACAGAGAATTAATCTTAATCAACGTTATTAAGAATAAAAAATGCGCATGTATAGACAAGTCTTTTCGTAAGGACGAAATTCGGTGACAATTCGACGAAAAATTCCCTTCTCCTTTTTCCATCTATTGCTGTCGATCTTGATTCGTTCGTGGAGATGTCGAGCATCGGTGGCGCCTTCTATGCGAAGAAATTTCTCGAAATTATTTTTATTATTATACTATAAAATGTTTCGAACAACTTATAGACCTAAATTACTTATACGTTTGCAAAAATCGAACGATCGTTTAAAAATGTTATTTTTGATTTTTCGTTTCGTTTGTCGAGTATTCTTCGCATAGTGGTAACCATTGTTCGATGAACGTCGCCAATATAGCTGCCGCCAGTGGGCGGTTCGTTTGAAAGCGGAATTAATATAATTGAAAAAAGTGCGGTTCGAACATGAATACTTTAACGATTGTCTTTTTCATCAATGTATAATGGAGGGTCAGTTGTTGTAGCTTTCGTTCCATAGACATCCCGTGGATTTTTTTTCGAACAATACGGTTGACGTACACGCTGAACACAGCAAAAATATAATGGCGGTGCTTTCAGTTAGCTGACCGGTCATTGGTTTATTTTTTCTTCGATCATATTTCTCGGCTTTGCTTCTGGTTCCCTTCGCTTCGCCTCGAATTTGCTCGTTTCGTTTATGCTTCTGCGCTTCGTGAGTTCTATGCTTATCGGCTAGTAGTAAAGCAGTTTTGGAACGAGCCTTCGTTCGCAGTGATTGCGAAAAAATGATATTCGAAACAATCTTTATCTGAAAAGTTACGAAAATTAATTCAAAGATTCGAAATCTTTACTTTTAAAATTAAAAGAAAATTATTGATCTTTAAATTTAAAATATTCAGACTTAAATTTTCAAATTTATAATATTTTAACTTTGTTACGATTATTATCAAATAAACTTTAAATTTTAAAGTGTGATGAAATGGTGTAGCTGCGAGCGAAGACACATGCACGAACGTGTCATATCATCCGATACAAATAGATAAATAATCAATTATGTACAAGTATAAACATGGTGTACAAGTTACGGCGTTGGGTATCGTCGTGTAGTCAAAAAAAAAAAAAAAAAAAAAATTGACGCTTCCTTCCTTTTATCGATTCTCGTCGTCGACGACCCCTCTTGCCAAGATGTAACAATCATTATTAAACGGAGCACAGCTCCGTAGAAAACAGCGTTATATATATCACATAATTTCAGGCTACCATATTTCTACGTCATTTTCTTCGTACTCGTTCTTCCCGAAGTCATCTTACATCTAGTGTGTGACAATATTATTAAGTCGCCTAAACGGTAATCACTCGAAACATTTGGTCAGTATCTATAATTCCCGACTTCCTATTCGGTCGTTTTATCGTGATTAATGTCGATTAATTTTTTCTGAATTTTTCATCTTCCAAACACGACACTAAAACATTATAATTATTTAAATACTTCTTCAATATTTCAAATTAAATTTTTATCAAATTATATACAGAACATTTTAACGAAATAGTAACGATCAATATAACTTTTGTATTAATGATTAAAATCGAAACAAGATTGAGTTTTCCTATTTTTATCTTATTACTGGCGCCACCTGATATTAATTCTACAAAGATGGTATTTGCCATCCTCGTAAGATAAAGTCACTACTTTACCAAGAAAGAAATCGAAGATGAAAATCAATTTACGTTAATCACGACGAAATCAACCATAGTTTAACCGCGAAACGCGCGACTTTGATCGAATTATTTTACAGAGGATCTCGCGCGTTTACCAAAGGGAGCAAGAAAAAGCGAAGGAGAGAGAGGAGCCATTGGCTCGTGCTTAAAACCGTGTCTTCTATCCTCGTCGAGATTATCTCAACATACGATTGAACGACAGTAGTGCGAGTTTCTTTTTGTTGATTCCCTGCTCGATGCCATGGACCGTTATCTTGTTCTCTTTTTCTTTAGATTCAATCGAGCGCGAAGTTCAAATAAATTTCTCAGGCTCCTCTAAATCTGCCAATTTCTACGACCCAAGATTTCGATGGATTAACCAGTCGTTCGATCTATCGATGACTTCTCTAGTCATAAGAGACGAAAAGTTAACTACGCTATTAGCGAAACGATATTACTAAGATTTCATTACTATTTATTGTCCTTTTTCAAGCAATTTGATCACTTTCTTACCGAAAAATTTTCGAGAACACATTGGTTTGTAATCACGGTGCAAATAATAATCTATTCCGAAGTGTCTAAGTCAGTGCTCTCTTAACCTAATTTAAAAAATAAAAAAATACTGACAAAAATCATTAACACAATTATTAAAAAAAAATTGAAATCAACTTAAAAATCGCATAGCGGCACGAAATATTTCAACTACAACTTGTTTCAACTATCCATCATACATAACCTAAAAAAAATCAAATATTACTTTCACAAACAGCACATTGGTCTATATCTACAAAATATCTGCAAGTATTTATCTTCGAGTTTTCTCATTCATCATTCTCATTTAATCTCCATCATTTTTCAGAATCCAACAAGGATCCTAAAGCAAATTTATGAATACCTAACAAATCTCTCTCTGTGGATAAATAAAGAAGCGCAAGAATGGTCCAAATCATCGAACAGCGAACCATCTTTGAGAACAGAGTCTAGGTCTCCTATAAAGTATATCAGAGCAGTTCTGCACGTTACGTGGAGGTGGACGTCGTCGTGAAATCGGTACGTGTTTCTCCTTCAAGAGGAGGCGAAATGGGACGCGACGACGCCACGACGAGCGACGAATGGGACGACCGTGGGTGATCGTCACACGGTAGTCACCCGGTCGACCTCGACGTACCGCACAGAACTGTCGCTGTGTCAGCAAATCACTTCCTTTCCATCGATGATCGCCGTCTCGGAGGAGATGCTCTTCAGTCTATGTTGCGATATCGACCGATTCGTCCGTTGCCTACAGATCCGCCAAATCACGAAGATAATGACGGCGAGAATCGTGATGATGGCGAGGAGGCCAAGGCCCAAGTGGAGGGGAGGCAATTGCAGGAGGACAGAACAGTGAGTCAGAGCCTCGTCGTATCCTGATGGACAATGAGAGATTCCGTCGCACCATAGAGAAGCGTTTATGCACGCATCCAGCTCTGGACACCGCTGTTCGCAGTCACGTGGCATCTGCAACCCTGCTGTCGATGTTACCGATGGTCTGTAAGAAAATTTCGAGAAGTAATTAAGAAATGCGTTTTAGAAGTTGTTGGAAATAAGAATTTATGTCGAGTTAAGTAGAATTAATTTATGTTTTAGGTTATAGAAATTCAAGCGAAGGAAAAATGAATAAATTCTGAATTGAATACTTTCTAAAGAGGATTAAGAAATTTGGACATCAAGGAAAGGTTTTATCAAGGAAATGCGTCAGATTAGATAGTGAGATTCGAAATAAGAATTTATATTAGACGAAAGATTTAGATTGTACTAAGTGAAGGAAAAGGAATCGAACAAATTTTAGAATTTGAATTTACCTTCTAGTGAGCTCGAGCCAGGTGACCGTGTACGTATCCGGTTCCTTGACAATGAACTCGATGGCTATAGTCCTGACGGGGTCCTGACCCGGCACCAGAATCATGGCATTGCTGCTGACGGCCCAGCCGTCGCTGAAAACTTCGACCACGTGGTGTCTAGACTCCGCAGGTGGTTTCGGGCACACCGACACGTGAATCGTGCCACCGGTATGTACCACGATCCGATTCTTTGTCGCGCACTTGCTGGTATTCGACATTATCGTCCCGTGCATTTTTACATACAGGTATTGATTCGGCCCAGGATCTATCAGCCATGGATGCTTCTCACAATTTTTCTGAAAAGCAAGATCAATCCAAAATTTCTCAAATTTCTCAACTCTCAAGATCAACGAGCTTCTTCATTCATCATATATCAAAGAGTCTCACCTCATCCTCGTCGACAATTGGAGCTTTGTACTTGATCTCTCCGGAAGGCCCCCTCACCCTCCTCTTCTGCAAACAAGGAATCGTCTTGACGAATTCCCATATGCCTTCGAAGAACAGATTATTGTAGTCGTCCAACGCGTCCATAGACCTGACGGTGAAGTGCACCTCGACGATGTTCGAGGTCGATTTGATATTGATCGGCAGTGATCGATTGGAACACAGGCAGTCTCGTTGCACGGGCGGCGCATTCGGCCAGGGAAGATCGAGCACCTGTGGATATCGAGCCGTGATTCGGTCCCGCGGGTCGCTTGCCATTTAATTAGCCGTCAGATTATATTATAATTGCAGGGGGACAAACATGACGGCCGGGTATCGAGAGCATAAGCGTCCCTAATTGCGCTTTAAATTCGCGAGCTGGCGACCCTCGTAAATCCTGGAATCGATAACGAACTTGGAACGAACGATGGTAACCACCTATGGTTTCGGATCGAAATTTTAGATTTATTCGGCTTTTGCCCACCGCTGCCACTCCGATTACCGTTTACACGCCGAATTTCTGATAAAGTTTTAATGAAAACGCGCCCTCGTTAATTACGACCTCTCACCCCTCGTTCTCGTGAGTTGGGAAAATTGTCGATAGAGGTCCCCTCGATCGCCACTGGGAAACTTTAAATTAAAATCGTTGCTCATTTGTGATTGGTGTTCGAATCTTATTTGTGCGATTCCATTGGTGGATTTTTAAAGATTTATCGTTTGGTTCTTTTTATCATTTTAAAGAGAGTGGATATTTTGTGTGTGCATCATGTTGTTCTTTTACACGAGGTGTGTTAAAAAATTCGATAATATGTTATTTTTCTTCTCGCATTCATTTCTAAACAACGTCGAGAAGAATAGTTCTTGTATATTATTGAAGCAAATTTAAATCCGATCGAAATCGAAGTGTAACGATATTGAAAAGAAAATAATTGTTTCGATCTCTCTGATTAATTTTTGAACAAAGCTCTATCGTTCTCGATTATCCGAACAACACCGACTTGCACATTTGCTCGCCGACGTTAACAACTCTATTCACGAGAGATGAATGGGCCCCTCTAGCGATCTCCTGTCGTGCAAATATAAAACGGAGCAATACCTATTCAAAGTTCGTTTCGAAGATTAATTGGAACACGTGCCGCGTTATTATCGCGAAACAGATCGAGGAAAGGAAATATTTGAAACGGTTCCGCGCTTTCAATTGTTGAAACATAAAAAAAAGCAGAAAAACTATTACAAACTATCTGAACCAAAAAACCACGTCGGTAAAGTCAAGTAAAAGGTATGCAGAAAACATTTTCATAAATTGAAATCCGTCCAAATCTACGTAAGTAAATAAAATTTTTCCAATTGACTAATCAACGAATTCGTACTAATCGAAAATTAATTTGCAGGTGAAAAAGGGACGAGACTCACCTTCACGGAGAAGTTCTCCGATCCGACGCAGAGGAGCCGATTAAAGTCTGGGCTGGAGACGCTGCGGCACGTCCGGTTCCCGTTCAAAAGCTTGTTGAACCGCAGCTTCACGATCTCGTCGTGCTCGCCCTCGAATCGATACACGCAGCTGGAAAATCCGTTGTAGCCTGTACTAATGGAATTTACATGGTCGGCCGGCCACGCAAAGGAAATCGTATTCCTCGATCGATACCGCACGAGAGATTACGAGGAGGAGCAGATCAACCATGGTCAATGATGTTTCTCGTTCGTTAACCGATCGTCGGTTAAACCCCTTGCGTTGGTTTGAGAGAGAAGGGAAGCGAAAGGAAATTGAAGAAATAATGGAATAAATCAAGAGGCGAAGAAAAAATTTTAAATGGTATAGATAAACTTGATCTCTGGTATGTAATTTATAGTATGGATCTGTTCATCAGTGATACATGGAATTCTGTTTGAAAACAGGTAAAGGGAATGAAGAAGAATAGAGAAATGGAAAGTTTGAAAACAGGTAAAGGGAATGAAGAAGAATAGAGAAATGGAAAGTTGGGGAAATGAAGAATAGAAATTTTAATCCGGATTAATTTTCCTTGGCCTCTGTCATATTTCATTCCTCTTTCGCATGGCGTGTAATTACAACTGCGAACAAAGTAAACGAGTATCCGTCACGCAGCAGCAGCTATGGAATTCTATTTGAACGGTAAACAAATGATAAATGAACAACGACAAAAGCGAAAAAGCGAATTGTATATCGTTGATAACTGATCAGAGGTGCACTCCTTTTGGAGGAATGTGTTGCTTCTCTCGTGTCAAAAATGAAAAGATATAAAGATCCGTTTTATGATCTTGTGAAGCCAAGAAAAGTTTGATTGGGATTGGATCGATTGAGGAGTTGTTCACGCGAGGATTGAAACGGAGTAAGAGTTGAATTCGGTGTCAATGGAACTTTAGGTAAAATTTGACTTTCCTTTCTGTGGATTTTGTAAGTTTCGAAAGAGAGAGAGAGAGAGTTGTCAAAGTTGGAAGGATAAACAGAGGGAAATTTATAATAGGGATAGTGGTTGGGTAAAGGTCTCTTGGATCTGTTTGTAGGAGCACGAGAAATCTGAAAGCTTGGAAAACGAAGAAGGGGAAGTTTTCAATGAGGGAATAGTGATTTTTTTTTTAAGATTCGCTTTGGAGAGAGGGGAATAATAGCTTTGGCGAGATAAAGGAAAAAGAATCGAAAGAGAGAAATGCTCGTGATAAACGAATAGCTTTTCCAATCTTAAGTTGGTGAAAGTTTTTACTTGTTAAACTTGTAACTATGAAAAGAAAAAGATTTTAAAGGAGTAGGAATTCTTACTGTATGAATTGTTACTGTATGGAATATCATATCTCGTTTTAACATTTGAGTTTTCTCAGTATTATTTATTTGTAACGAAAAATGTTTATTTGTAATTCAGATAAAAGTTGAATGGTGTCAAAAAATACATACATTTCTTAATTTTTTCTGCATAAAGATCAATCTTTTTTTCTTAATTTTTTTTTTAACACTTTCTATATGCCTAAAAATTCTTAAAAGATATTTCAATTTGAATATTTTTGCAAAAATTTATTGCAAAATCATAAAAAATCCTCTCTTCTCTTCTAAACTTTTATTTGAAACGTTATTCGTTGCGAATAATAATATTAAACAAATCAAGATGTCGAAATCACGCGATACGGTCTATTCTACGTTTTCTTTATTGTTAAAAATCTGAACATTAAAAAAAAAATACACGCGATCAGAAAAAAAATTTCACAACAATGTCTGAAGGCCTTCTAAGAGAACAGAAGACTCTTCACATCCTCCTCTTCCTCTTTTTTTCTTCAGCCTCGATCTCGAAGGGGGTCGAGGAACTCGATGACAGAGGAGAAGAAGCGAGGAGGAAAATTTAAAAAAAAAGTAAAAGAAGGGAGAAAGAAAGAAAAAGGCGCGCACACTTTCGTCGCGATGCACAAAGGGACTATTTACGGCCAGCTATCGCTTTTGCAAGTGGAACAAAGAGGCAAGCTGGTGACGCGCATCTCATTCGAAATCGCGGAATCGTTTGCGCGTAAAAGGCGCGCACCGGATGCGGCCGGCGGAAGGAGAAAGAGTTTGTCCTCGTTAGGTCGACCCGCCATTTTTCTTCGAGTCATTTAAATGGACAGATTGCGCGCGCATCTCGCTTCCTTTCATTAATTCTCACTTATTCGGACGTGGTATTTGTCTCGAGACTTCGTTTCCTTTTCCATCGTTCTATTCATGAATATTGTTCTCGTAACACTTTTACTCAAATTTTCTTTTCCTGAATTTTTTTCTTCTTTTTTTTTATAATAATTTCAACAATCTGGTTCCCTCTTTCGAATAAATATTATCGATTATCGATTATTTTAAAATTCTTCAAAATATTTTTCATCAATTAATATCCGAATTGAATTAATATCCGCTTTATTGAATTCTTCTTATATACTTCGAAAGATTTCGTTCCTTTACACAAGAACAAATTTATTTGGAATTTATCCCTTCAGGATTCAATTAGAATTTTTGAAGAGAATTATTACCGATTATCGATAATTCTCAAATTCTTCCGAATATTCCAAAAATTAATTTACCCTTACACAAATTGAATTCCGCATTTATTCTTTGAAGGATGAATTTCATTATTTTACAAGAAGAAGAGTATACGGCCGAGGAAAAATTGCTTTGAACGAAGTAAATTCTCGATTCCGGCTATGGTTACAACCTTGAAGGCATTGCGGGTATCGAGAAACCTCGAACAATGGTTAAGTGGAATCGAGAAAGTGGACTCACCTTATATTTTTCGCTCCGCCGCGGCCATAAGGAAAATGTCGCGTGGCGCCTGAAATCTACGATCAGGATAATGATCTCGATTACGGCTATAGAATATCCTCGAGCACGGCCCGCTTCCATACGGATCCCCATCCTGGTGAAGATCCACGAACTCGTAGAGGGCGCGAAAATTCACCGGCCTGCGGCATCGAGACAAATTTTCACGTTCATTCTGGATCTGAATTTTTCAGAAATTAACCATTATACATCGAAATATATCGATTTCTCTCTCGTGATTTTGTTTCTCTAATTTTAGATTTTTCTTACCTTCAACCACTCTCAGCTGAGAGAGAAAAATATAAAAATATCCGCTTGCTAAAAATACCCGATTACGAAACGCGTAACAGAGCGTATAGACGTTAATGGTAATTATCTATCTCGGATGGATGGCGGACGTCTGTCGTTTACGTCGCGAACGAGGTCATTTACATTTTATTTATTTTCACACGAAGCCCGACACGCGTAACGCACGGTCTAGTTAATCCCTTCCGCATGAGCCTTCGTCCATCCTTTATTAACCCGTTAAACGAGTCGATTCCTTGAACGCCATCTCTCTTGCGCGGCCAATTAAAAAATGATCCGTTCATCTCTTTCTCTCTTCTTTATTATTTTATACCCGCTCGATTTAATTGAACTCCGTCGGTAAGAGGCTCTGTAATGGCTCTGTATTGGAAAAGGATTTTCAACGAGCGGTTGTAAAGGGAGGAGGAACGTTGAAAGTACAATTTTTTTTATCATTTCTTTTTCTTCTTCCTTTTCTTTTTTTTTTCTTGTCGACGAGAGGATTCGAGAATTTATTTAGCTCTGTTTATTTATTTTTGTTCCTTGTTCCCGATGGATCAACGTTTATCGTGTCTTTTCCTGTCCTCATTTATCATTTCACGCGTTATCTTTAAATACGAATCCGAATATTTGATGCAAAATATATCTAGTTGTACATTTCCTTCTCCTTCGCCAAGGAAAATATGGAATAAAAATATTTGAAGGAAAATCATCAGGATATTAAAGAGAAAATAATATTCTTATACTTGAATAAAATAGAAATCGAAAGAGGTAGAGATTCGTAAAATAAATTGTTTTTTATATCGATATACTAATAATGGAATAAAAATATTCGAACGGAAATCATTAGAATATTAAAGAGAAAATAATATTTTTATATTTAAATAAGATAGAAATTGAAAAAAGATTCGTGAAATAAATTATTTCTTATATCAATGTATTATATAATAAATTCTATTTAATGAAATTACAAATAAAAAATGGAACTAAAGAAATTAGTGCTTAGAACAATATTAAATGCACAAAAGATATTTTATTCAGTCATGGAATTATTTGCGTTTCCGTGAAATGACCTGAGGAAAAATCGTTTCTTATAAATAACTGATATAAGGGAAGCCGAGTCGTAGGAGCGGATCAAAGCGGGGAGAGGGGATTGGTAGCGAAAACGTGCAAGTGCGCCAGATATTGCGCTGTGTCGCCATAAAACCTCCGCATTCCTCGCGTGTAACGTTCTGTATCGATTCTACAGGAGGCCGGTGTCACGAGCAAATTTCACGTTTGAATTTATATTCAAAGCTTTCTACCTCTCGAGAAAGAATAAGAAAAAAAAGGAGAAAGAGAAAAGTGGCGCAAGATCTCACTCAGATATCGGAATTTTGAACCTCTGATTTTTGAAGGAAGTCAAATCTACCACGGAACGTTTGAAGTGCAATTCTCAAGTTTCGACTTTAATTCGCTTTGTAAACTTTCTTCTCTCCCACGAAGATGAGTTTCATTCGGCTTTCTTAAACGCGAGTTAATTGAAAGAAATGAAAATCTTGGTTTTTTTATCGAGCGAAGAACTAGAAAATATTCTTCTCCTTTGATCCTTTTTACTTTCGACGACTATTTACCGTCGATCGATAATCTTTGCTTTACGTTGGTAAAAGTATGAAATAAAATTTTTTTCTCACTTCTATATAATAGTAAAATGTTAAATTAGTGGTTTCCAATCTGTCAATTAATCCGACTATACTTTAAATTATAAATTTTGCTTAACAACGTGCTTAAAATTGCTAATGAACGACTAATGAATTACTTTAAAATTAAAAAAGGTAAAGAGAATATTTATATTAAATTAGCTGGAAAAAGTTAGGTTAAGTTCTATCGGAATATATATTATATATATAAAATATATATATTCATTTAACGTATTACATTTACCTCTCTGTGAATATTACCGTTCTAGCCTATTAACAGTTAATCTTATTAAAGTGGACTTTCAAGATAAAAATGCATATAATCACGATAAAAGAAAGGTCAATGCAATTCATTCGAATATTATAAAACTAAACCCAGTTTAAACGTTCCATTCCCGATCGTTGAAAACGAATATTAGAAAAACGAAGCGGTCAATAAAAACTCGTTTTCCGCAGATATTCCCCGTAAAATCTCTTTACATCGTTGCTCGAGAGAAAACATAATACGCGTGCCGATATCGATCGATTCACAAGTGAAACAACGACAGAACGAAACGGCACGCGGTCTGTAATTGAAATTGCTCCAATCCCTCCTATTTCTCTCCCTCTTTTCTATATTTCCCTAGCTTCGCTCGATCGAGTTTAAACTTGCCTGAGAGCCGTTGATTCAACCATTCTCATCTCGATGGTCAGGGTGTTTCCACTCGATACGAAGCTCTCGCCCAAGGAGCATGGACGGCTGGTGTTTTGTAGGATCGCATGATCGCAAGTCTTTGGCACCTTGTCTTTACAGTATCGTGCCAGCAACGTGGTGTTTCCAGCGGGTCGAGCTGCCAAAGGATGAGGTGGATCTGCACCGGATCTGTCACCGTGACGTTGATGCTCCTTTTCGCTGTTAAGATAGGTAAATAAAGTTTTGAGAGATTGAAGTGGATTAAAGCGAAGGGATGAAATTTGGAAGAGAAAGAAAATTGTAAGTTGATTTTTGCAGATGTGTTGAGTTTTTAATACAAAAAAGTGCCTTGTAATTTTAATTTGTCTTTCTTTTAGTAATATAAGTTTATAATATGTTATGTTTATTTTGTATTAAGAAATACAATTATATTTTATAATTACAGATACAGATATAAATATATAATATATAATTATACATTATATTATAAAAAGATTTAGATTTATCTATTAAATTAACTAAATTATAAAACTAAATTATCTAAAATTGGTCTATAGAAATTTCATAACCAAATGACATGGCAACCAAAAACCTGTTTACCGATAACTTATACAAACTTTTTTGGAAATTCTGAACGAAGTAAAACCAAACTGTATTCCAACAAGAAGATCTTTAGCGTAACAAGAAAGCAAACACAACTAAACGAAGACAAACACGAAAATCACGCATTTTTCAAGCGTTGATCGGTATATACATAGACTTTGTTCAAGCTGTACAGTTCAATAAAATCGAAGAGTATCCTGAGGTCATATATAGTACAAGAAAAAATGAACAAAACTTAAATATTTTTTCATGAAACTTTGAAAATTTTAAAACTTAACTTCAAATTAAAATTTTGGACTTAACTATAGAAGAATATATATATTTTTTTTGAATGTGAAAGAATTAATATACATTTTAAAAATCTATTTGATAATAAAATTTTAATCTAATCCTTAAAAATTCTAAAAATTTTCAATTTCACCTTATTTTTTATTTTTTCTAGGATAACTAAGGATACAAGAATACAAACTTTTCGCAAGTTTCTTTCAAATAGATACTGCATCGAAAATGAAAATTAACATATTTTCTATTTATGAATAATCTCAATATCAACTTTAAAGAGATTTTAAAACAATCAATCAAATCTCACGAATTCCTTCGCAACCTATAATAATTAATCAAAAAACCAACCAAGTGGAATCGTAGCACTCGGACAAGGGCATCATTTCTCCATCCCAGACCATGAGCGTGGTGGAACAATCCTCGTCGCCGGTGGACAGGCTCGTGCCCACGTGGAACTTAAGGATGGACAACCAGACGCGGAACTGCGGCTGCGGTGCTCGTGGTGCAGGCCTCCTCCACACGGTGCCCGGCCTCTGTTCCGGAAACTTGGGCAAAGGACGCGGCGGCGTTGGGCTAGGAAGTGCTGGGCCAGCGCCACGTAGATGATACAAGCACGTGCTGTTGCGTGGCAAAGAGTGGCGCGGGGAAGCGAGCACTCCTCCCCCACTCCCTTGCAACCAGAACTCGCAGTGTTTGTTCTTCGCGTACGTTGGCGAGTCTGCGTCCACGAACTTCACCTAGAAGCATAGTTTATTGGATTTTTTTTCGGGGAGAATGTGACTTTGTTAAGAGTAGTTTAGAGCAAGGAGATTGAAGAGCACTTGTAAGTTGATATTGAAAAGAAGGAAGAGATTTTTTTTGTACTGGTTTTAAATTATTGTAATATTATGATTTTTTCAGATATAAGTGAACAATTTATGCGTTGAAAAATTACATTATAATATTATTAGAATTGATGAAGAGAAAAAGGACAAAGAACAGGTTTCTTTAAAATTCATTGGACAGAAGAGAAATTCTGAGATAATTGATTTTGTAAATTGATATTTATGGTGGTTTTGAATTATTTTTGTAATTTATTATTATCAAGTCTCGAAAAATTTTATTATAATAAAATTGACATTGAAGAAAGGACACGAAGAAAAATTTATCACCATTAACGTATCCCTCGATATCTAAAATTCTTTATAAATCCTCTTTCTCAAAGTCATCGTTCATCCCAGTGAACTTGCATAAAACCATTAAAATTATCTTGAAAAGCTAAAAAGAAGAAATTCTAAAATTCATTACTCATCTGAGAAAAGATTCATCAACATTAACACTCCTTAATCCATTGCAAGGGAGTGGAGAAACGGAAGGAAGGAAATGGAAAAATAAGAAAAATCGCCGTTCAAAAATTCATTATCCCGGTTCACACTGGTGAAAAGTCAGCGGTAACTCTCTTCCAACCATCCATTTAAATGCTATCCGCGAACGAAAGGGGCCGGCAGTTCGCCACGATATGAGGTGTAAAGAAGGGTGTTCCTGTGAATATTTGAACAGAATTACCACGTACTTGCACTTCTAATTGAAAACCGTGGAGCGAGTGCGGTGGCGTAGGATGTAGAAACGTCCCATAAGGTGACGTGGTGAACTCGACCAAGATTTCGGTTCCGCTACTGATCGCTTCCGGCACTGGTTCGCCTCCTCCGCAAAATTTCAGGATCACCGGGTCTCGAGTCGTGTAACCATCGTACACTGTCACGTAATCCTGCAGCCATCAATGGATGACATTTTTATTATTCTACGGGAAAAATAACATATCTATGCTAATATAATTTTTTTTTCAATAATTTTGAATTTTGAATCCTTTTTTATAATAATACGTTTATGTTAATATGTAGAGTTTTTTTTTTCTTAATAATTTTTACATTAGAAAGTAGATATTTTTTAGAAAATTTTTAAAAAGATTCTTAATTAACTCATCTATCGATTCTAATCTAACCTACCAAACAAACATGATTGGAAAATTAGACAACATTCGATCTAACTTCTAATTACCGTAACTTATTAATTGAATTCCTTTAAAATGTATTCGATTATACGAATATTTTTGACTTCCATAAAATAATCAAAAAAGCATAAAATCGTCGAATCGACTCGACATACATTTGAAATTGATAAATTTTCAAATGTTATTTCAGAAGCATTGGCCAGAATCGCCATTATCTTCCTTATCTTAACCCGACTCCGTATTCTGCCAATAAATTCCGCTTATCAATTTAGACCACACGGGGTTGCCTTTATCCTCGATTCGAATTTAGTTACTCTCCTCGTGGATCGATAGATTGGGCAAAGAGGTCGGTGATTTAAGAAGCGCTTCTATATAATGGCAGCTCCGGTTTCGTCGATACCTTTGATCACGTGTCTTCTCCTCATCTCCTTTGTTGACCATCAAATTTATCTCGATTTATTTTCTCTTTTATCACGTACCTGGACAATGTCGCAATCGTTCCACAAACGAAGTTCACGGGGCGACGATTCCGCTTGGGTCGCCGCTGGCCTCGCTCTTATGGCCACCAATTGGCCACGAGGCTGTTTCACTGAAATTAACGCGTGTTTTCCAGGTGGTACGTCGTGCTGTCTCACCTGTGAAGTAAAATAAGTGCAAAAAATATTTAAAAGAGGTTTAAATGAGTTTCTGTTTAATTAGTGAGATAAGAGAAGTTTTTAAAATTTTGAATGGTAGCTAAGAATAGTGTGTTATGAATTTTCGGATCGTTCGCTGTAATAAAATGTCATTTCTTTATTGAAAAAAAAAATTTTAAATTATTGAAAATTATATATATATATGTGTGTGTGGTAAAAAATAAATTCTTTTAATAAATACCATTTTAGTAATTGAAAAATTTATATAAAATGCATTCGATAAGAAATATTTACAAGCATTTTTAGGTTAGTGATTATGTATATTAAAAACATTAATTAACTATATTTGTTTATTGCATTTTATACATTTTTTAATTTTTTTCATATAAGAAATATAAACAAAATATTTCTGTTTAAATAATAACTTTTATAATTTTTCTTTTAATTATTAATTATTTAATTGTTTTTTGGCTATGAGATTTCATTAATTAACAATTAATTAAAAATTAATTTTTATTTGTTAAGAGCAAATATAATATTTATGAAAATGGAAATATACTATATTAATAAATTTTTTCAGAATTTTTGTACACAATGTAAACATCATTTATATTGCAAAGTTGAAGTAGAGGATGTATTTGATTGGAGTATGTCGTAAAAAATGAAGGATATGTATTGTACGCAGAGTGCACAATGGTGTGTAAACGTTTATGTTTTCGCAAGAGAAATTCGATCGGAAACGCGCAATCATGGGGGTGCTTTGATCGAGAAGTAATTGAATTTATCACTCTCCTCTGGGCACAGTTCATTCGATTAATCGATACACCCCACAGAATCAAAGACCGATAAATTGTTTTTCGCGTAATGCAATACGTAACCGATACAAGACTCGATTTCACTCATCAATGATGTCAATGTTCTTTATAAATAGTATATTAATTAAGATTTTCAAAAATCAAATCGATCGACTTTTTTTTATAAATTTTTTATTAATATCTAGATTTTTAATAATTTAATTAGCATTCAACTTGTGAAAAAGAATTAATTTAATTTTAAAGATTGAGAAATATTTATAATTTTCAAATTTTAAAGTTTTTCTCTTTCTAATTCATTAATATAATTTCTGATTAAATGGTTCAATTTGCAATTACGAACAAAATATTCTATAATATAATATCGTTTGTGGATATTTCGACACGAACGAGTTCGAACGACATATTTCGATTTGTATCGAGTTTGTTTATTATGATGAGAATCGATGTTATTCGTATTCTTACTTCGATTCGATAGATATATTTAGTCTCACGCTATTCGTCGTATCGTATGGACGATATTGTGCTACGGAATATTTCGTCCATTGTGTCATATAACCTATATTGTGTCGCGAAATATTTCGTCTATGTCATTATATGAATTGTATATCGCGAAATATCTCGTTCATAGTGTGATATAACAGTATAGTATCGTGGAATATCTCGTCGATTCCAATTCCAAAACGATTAAAATCCATCAAAATCTCTTTATCTCCCAAGCAATTTAATGCAATCTTCTTCGTTCCAACAGTTTCTCTTTTTCGATTTTGATGGAAACGATACAGAACCAAAGGAAACTTTAATAAAACCGATATTTGTTCCACGGTATTTTTATCTTTGCGTCGAAGTGTATTTAGCACGGAAAGTCGAGTTCAGCCAGGAAACGGAGAATAATGGGTGGATAGTTCGCAGATCCGCGGTCGTTGCCTCGTAAATTTTCGTCAGAATGCCAGTGGTATCCGATGCTCCCTCTTCGTTTCGAACCTGTGCCGCATTCGACCCGTTCAATTTGCTCGTCTGCGATTTTGTAGTGAAATACGGCTTCTCGGATTAACCGGGTACGTTTTACGTGTCACGAAGAACGTTCGAGGGTCATAGTTTTCCCTCTTTACGATTTAGAAACGAAGACTTGTTAATATTCATTAGCAAGGATTAGCAAAGTTTCAGAATACTTTTTCGATAATTGTTACGTGGAGCGTAGAATTTGTGCAATTTGTTTGTCAATAGGAAAGTTGGAGGTTATGTCAATAAAATTTCATCAGACAATTATTAGACAATTTTGTTATTAGACTTTATCTTAATTTTTTAAATATCTTCGAAAAGATTTCACTTTTTGATGATTTTTTAATATGTGATTATTGAATGATTATTATTGTGATTATTGAATAACGTTGTGAATAATGTGTTTAATTTAATCTAAATTAAAAAAAATTATTAATCTAATCTAACTTAAATAAAATCCAATATAAACCAGAAATTAAATAAATGTTAAGTTTAATTTTATTTCAAATCAAAATTAATTTAAAAAATTTGATTAAAAATTTTTTTAATAAGTTTTTATTTTAATAAGTGAGTCATAGGCCAATAAGTTAGAAACAATCACTTCATTTACTCCTCCAAAAAGAAAGAATTTTCCAATTTTCAATCGCAAACGTATCTGCATCACGTAAAAAAATAAGAAATTCTTGAATTTTCTAAGAAACGTTATCTTTCGCTTCCTCGAAAAATCGAAAAATCTTTAATCGTCTCCTGATACAAGATAGAAGAAACAGGGTTATCGAACTTTTGCCAAGTTTTATCAACCGCGAACGGATAGGAAACAACTTCTCGAAAGGAACTCTCGAACTCGAAGAAGAAAACGAAAAGGGAGAAATGTTGCGTTGTTATTCTTCGACTTATCGCGTTTAAGGGGATGATTCGAAAGTTTTTGGAAGATCTTTAGAGTGAAGACTTACTGCGTAGTAGCAGGTGAGATTGCGCGGATATAATCCTGGAAAGTTGGGCGACTGGAGCCTGCACTTTTTCCGGTCGCAGTCGCTGAATATGCGGGAACAGTAGGTGCCCGATATCAGATCCCCCAGGTATTGCTCGGTACTCGGTTTCGTCGTTTCTGATGGCTGCTCCACCATCTGCACCGGCATCGCCATCGAGCTGTTCATATAGTCGCTCGAGGACGTTGATAACGTTGTTTCTGTCGACGCTGGCGTACCTGTCGCCTGCGTTATTCCTATACAATCCCATAATTTTGATGGATTTTAATCTTAATTATTTGTTTGCTTTGCAGATGATTCACTTGGAATTGATTGTAATCGCATCGATGCTCTTTTGGAAAAATTACAATACATGTATGAATTGTATGGAATTGTTGCCATATTAATCTCAATTATTTATTTGCTTTGCAGGTGATTTATTTGGAATTGTACTTTGTAACTGCATCGATGCTCTTTTGAAAAAATTACGCTATACGTTGATGGAGCTTGTTGATAGAGCTTGGACATATTCATTGACATTTAAAATGAAAAATATTAGTGGTATGTTGTGCGTTATTGATTTCTATTCTCATGTTATTATTACTCATAGCGAGGAAGCAATACAGACAGACAGTTTCTCATTATTAACGGTGGTTTGGTTCTTCTGATGATGTGGATATGAACTGTCGATGTTCGATCATAATTGACACAGATCATAATTGACAATGATAGTGAACGTGTTGAATAATAAACGATTTTTTTCTATATAGAAAAATAAAGTGAAATAACGCAATGATATTTATAAAAATTTACTTAATATTAAAACTAGAATGAAAGTGTTTTTGGCAAAATTATTATTTTATTAAGATAGAAATATAATTACATATACCTATTTATTTTACAATTATAATTATTTATAATTATGAAATAGATAGTTAGATAGATTATAGCCTGATTCTATTCTAAAATTTTATTCTAAAAAGTAAATATAATTTTTTTCCTACGATATCTCCGTTATATTCTATCGTTCAATATTAATAACATGTAAAATAATAGAATATTTTTTAATAATATCTACCATTTATAATTTGGAATATGAAGAAAATTGGTAATTTAGAATATTTGAAGAAAAAAATTACATTTTCTTCAGATAATATAATTATCCAATGATATTTCATCCTTTGTAGTATCATAAATACTACAAAAGGGCTCTCTAACTTTAATTTGGTTTTCCAGAAACTAAACCATGAATCAAGAAATTGATAATCCGAACGACCGAATCCAAGCCACGTCATTTTCAAAACTATCTAGCTTATGCAAAAGTTATCAAACGTAAGAGCATTAAGAGTGAGAAAACAAGGAATCACGTTGCCAAGAGGAAGATATATAAGAATATAATCCAAACTTCCATACGTACCTACGAAAGGATTGCCATAACGTACCACGGCGTCCGATTTCCTGATCATCTTGTACGCCATCCTGAAGTCGAAATTGAATCCCGTCTGATCCTTGCTGAGCCTGAGCAGCTTGAGGGTGATGGAGACAGTCTGGGTCTCGCTGTAGTAAATCGCGGGCCCCCACGACGTACCGCACCAGAGGCCGCCCACGTCCGGTCGTTGGGCCTCCGAAATCTGGAGCGAACCGTCCGGACACCCCTCAGCAGTGAACGACACAAATTTCCCCAGGGTGAAACTGTCGAACGTCAACTGAAATCGCAAGTAGTGTCTACGTTGATCGAGATTGTCGGGCGTTGGGTGAAGTTTGAGCAAATTTATTGAGATTGGTTTTCCTTTTTTTCCCCCCTTCTTCTTTGAAAAAGTGTGGTGGAATTAGAAGGAATGGAATTTGGAAAGTAATTATTGGTAACCTGGTTGTATTGTGTCTTTTTTATGGTATGATAAAAATATGCAAGATAACTTAGAAAATAAGTGTATTATTTAGCGTATTTACATCATCTTTATCTTTTTTTCAGAATAAATGCAGAATTAGGAATGCCATTTAATGCAAGGTAATTTGAAAAATAATTAGTTAGATGTAATAAAATTAAGAGATAATTTAGATAATTTGGAAAATTGTTACTGGATTATATTTTTTTTATAATTTAGGTAATTTGAAAAATAGTTATATTATTCTTTTGATGGTGAATTAAGTGAATTAAGTAATTTTTTTTTTTTTGATATTATAGAAAGTTTGCTGAATTTTCGAGTACCATTGCGAAAGGATTAATATTTTTCTCCTCTTTTTTAGAATCGTAGCAATTTCATTAAATAGAAATTAATTATTCGTTGGTATGTTAATTAGATTTGCTCGCTTAAACTTTCCAATATTCTTCTTTGAAAGTATTTCAATAAAATGACAATATCTAGCAACGAGTATTGAAACACAAATATACAAACATCTCTTTAATTCTTCTCATATAATTGAGTTTCTCATAATTAAAGAATATGTATTTCTATGAAAATTTCAATTAAACTTCGATTAAAGTATCACTTATTTTGCTTGTTTCTTTTTTCAACAAGAATAGTATTAAACAGAAAGACATAGAACTTTTTCTATTTAATTTCTTTCAACGTGGTGTCAACTTGCGGGGTCCTGTTTTGATAAAAACGATAAATATTGGGGGCATCCAATGAGAAAACGAGCCACGTATATATATATATAAATTTAGTGGAAAAACTTTCATCCCTGTTCATTCCATTGGAAAGTTTTCGTGGCCTCAAAACGCATGTTCGAGAATGCTTTTCTCCGGCTAACTGGCGCAATTCTAGCAATTCGCGTTATTAAAAATTCCACCGTTAATTTTTATTCCTCCTGTACCCTTGTTCCTCCCCGGAATTCTTTTTCTCCATTTTTATTTTTTTACCCAGCCCTTTTCTTTTTTCCTCTTTCCCCTCCCTTTTTTTTTTTTTCAAACTAGTTTCCGAGTTCTCTCTCAGCGGAGAACAGCAACGTTGCACTATTTATAGTGATCCTTTTTCCATGAAACTATACCGTGATTTAGAGGAAAGTTTCACTTCTGCCGGATGGAAATTTCTTTGGTCACCTAACCTAACCTAAAATTCGATTTTGCTAAAATATGTCACGAGTTGATGGATGGTTTAATTATAACTAAGGTTGGTGTTCAGAATTGTGTGTTAATTAAGAATGTAAATAATTAGATTTAGGGCTTTGTACTTGCCTGCACGATGTCTCCAAGATCGCCACCCGGTGCACTGAAGGTGAGTTTGCAAATGTAAGGCACCTTGTCCTCCTTAGGTCGATGGAGCTCCAAATCGTAGGTCTTGCCCACGTCGCCATAGTATGTTTTATTGCACGCTGAAACACACGGAAAAGAAGCATATATACGAGGAGAACGAATGAACTTTATCGATTATCTTCTCGTTTAACTCCCTCAGGGAGTTTAAAGACGAAAAAATTAAATTTCAACTTTAAAGTAGCATTTACATTGAAAAAATAATATTCGATACAAGATTGTGAGAGTTTGTTATCACGAATTTATTTTTAATTTTTTCAATTGTCCTTTCATTTCCAATTACGAATCAAAACTCGGTCGATCGTTTTCAAATTTCCGTGTAATTGGTATTGGAGACTCGATCAAAGAGTTTATCGAGGTTAATTTCGAGTTCGATCGAGCAAAGAATCGATGAAGGCGTTAGATGAATTATCGATAGCCTCGAGTTACTTCTATTCGATCTTCTTTCGGAAAAAAACTAAAGTTAAGTGTTCCATATTTAAAACAAATATCCATCACAAGTATTCATCAAGAGTAATAATTATGATTATGGTATTCTCAAACTGATTGATCACCGATAGTAACTTTGATTTGAAAATTTAAGTTTTTTAAATTTATATATCGATACTTCGAGGTTATGAACGTTTTATAATTATAGAACTCTCGTCATCTTGATAAATTGAGTTCATTGAATGGATAAAAAGGTTTCATTAAAAGAGTGAAACAAGATCAAAGTGTAATTAGTTTCATTTAAACGTAATTGTGAAATAACACGGATGTGTTTATTTTTAAATCGACGGTGAATAGGGCTGAATTTTAATGGCCACTCGTGAACATGTTAACTCGATGAATAGTGTATACGAACTGTGATATCCCTCGTGAATTTTGTTGAAACGCCTAGTTGTTTGGTTAATGGGAAAGAGTTTGATTAAATTTTCATTCAAACGTTTATTGTTTTATTCTATGTATTCTATTTCTCCAACAAAGTGTTTTTAAAATAATTTTTTGAGATCTAACAAGGTTACTTTCATTTTTTAATCACTTATTCTATAAAAAATTCTTTAACTAATATTATATCAATTATAAAGATATAGAATTTGAAAATAAAATAAGTCAAAATTTTTCATATCGTGTATATCGATATGGTTACTTTTATTCTCAACTCAATGTCAACTATTTGCGAAAAATAGACTTCTTTCAAAAAAAAACTTTCAAATATATTCACTTTAAAAGAAAATCGTGTTCCAAAAAATATCAATCGGACAATCGTTGATTTATAATACCAAACCCACTCGACTGTGCATTCGTTTACATGAACGATCGATCGATGCCAATCAACACGTTGAATAATCGCCGAGCATATAAACGACGTAAATGGACGTAAACGGACGCTCGTTCATATTTCAATCTCGCTGGGAGTATAACACTCTAAATATAACACAAAAATGAATTGATATTTTTCCTTAAAAAATTCTTTGATCTAAAATCACGTAACAATTTTCCAATAAACGAGTCCATCACCAATGGCACGATCGTAATCGCGATAACAAAATAGTAGAAAGATTTTGATCGATGTGTTTCAAAGGAAACCGAAACTCGGCCGCCGACTAAGTTACTTTGGCTTCCTCTATCGCATGCTCTGCGCAGAATTACGTTGTGCAGGACGGCTTGGTCACAATACTAGTTCATTGTAGGGCTTCAAGGGCTCATCATGCAAGTATATACGTAGAATGAAAATCGAGGGTAATGTATAGGTGGTGGGCTACAACTCACACAGAGAAACACACACGGACAAGATATCGACGAGGTGAATGGGTCGAGTACACAATGCGCACCATTTCCAGGTATCGGGGAGTCTCATTCCTAATCAAAATCCCAGTTTGCCTGACTAATAGCTCAACCTGAAATCGTCTCGTCTTCTCTGCTGTATTGTAACTTATCGGTACACGTAATTGGATTAACCGGTGGTTAATTCTCATCATGTATAATCGTAGGTAATTATTTTCACGTGATTGAAAATTTAGAAAAATTTTAAAAATGTATCGATATTTAATTTTCAGATTTTTTTGTAAGGAATTTTTGAAATATTAATTTTTCCTTTTTTTTTTTAGAGATAGAAGATTGGATGATCTTTGAAGATTTAGAAGAGTCTTCTATTTTTTCTTTTATTCTCTCTGGTTTTTCTGATGATGTTAATAATAAGAGAATGACCGTAATTATGAATAACGAATTTCAAGAATTTAAAAATCTAATTTCTTCGAAGTCAAAATCACGATTACAATTATAATTTCACTTTTTTTAAAAAATCCAATTTAATGAAATAATTGTGAGAGATAAATAGTGATATAAAGAAAAATGAAATTTCCTAACGAAGGATACGAAAAACAAGACACGAGAAACGAATGTGGAAGAAAAAGAAATACTCGGCCAAGACTTCTTCAAATTGTACACAAATAATAAATTGAACTGTTTGGAATAATCGAGGGCCAGATGTAATTGAATATACGTCGTCGTTAGGTTTAATGGAAGGATTCGGTATCGAAAATCGATAGTCGCACCGGCTCTGTTGAAGTATTACGAATTCAGTAGGTGCATCTGTTACGTCAAATTACGAAAGTTCCTGGAGGGGAACTGGTTTCTCCGCGTTTCTCACGGCTGACTAATGCCGGGCATCAACTACTTGGCTGCATTTCGCCGGCTGGATATGCGTGCTCCTCCCCTTGGTGTCTGCCAATGGTGTCTGACGAATTATGGACTTTTGTCACTGTTCAAATGCAGTTGGTCGGATCGTTTCTACTGAAATGTTGTAGAAAAGAGCGAGGAGGAGGAAAGAAGAAGAAGAAGTCTTTCTGGAACGTGATGATTAATAATTCCTTCTACATTTCTCTTTTCTCAACTTGTCTTTTGTTTGAAGAACTTTTTTGTTTATTTGCTTAAAGTTCCATCTGTCACTGGATGATTTTATTTTTACATTTTAGTGTCTGTTATAAGAAGAATATTTTTGGAGACGAGAATTTAAAATTTTCTTATATGAATATCGTAGAAGACAAATTTTGAATATTTTGAAGGAGAAAAACTCTCTTTTTATATCAAAAGAAGAGCAATTTTTAAATATTTTTGAATGATAAAGATTTAAAACAATTTTTGAATATTTTTGAGAAAAATTTATGGTTTACTTTTTATGCATCGCTTCTTACATCAGAGAAGGTAAATTTTGATCATTTTAAGGAACAAAAATATCTTCCTATGTCAGTGTCTATCACAAGAAATGAGATTTTTGAATATTTTGCAAGAACAAAGTTTTAGGGCTCTTTTAAATTTATTGTTCTCGTTTCCTTCTAAGAAATTTCAAAGAATTGACCCAGTTTTCAAACCTTGCTCGCGATAAATCCTAGACAGATGACCCATTACCTTCTCGTACCATCGCGAGACTATATTTTATTACGCAATAAAATATGGACCCCTCGAGTGCTTTTCCATTTATCGCGCTGACGATCACGACAGCCTACCAACGCTACCATCCTAAATCACTCTACCACTCTATTCTGATTTCCCAATTTCACAAACTTGGATTTTTTTTTTTTCCTTATTGCTTTCATTATACCGCGGAAAGAAATCGATACTAGATTGAAATAACGAAATGAAATAATTTCAGGTATCATTATAGAGAAGAATAACGGGATCGTGGCTCATTCGAACGTCTCAGTGGATAAATGCTGGATCGAAGAGGAATAAATGGCGCGCGTTCAACCGGGAAATTCTCTCGTATTCCGCGGCTTCCACCAACGAGAGAAACGTACGAGCAAAAATGAGAGAAGACGTGTCATGACTGAGGAAATAAGTAGTTGTCCTGGAAAAACAAACAGACAAACAACTCGAAAGATCTTGAAATATACGTATCGAAAGGTAGAAAGGAATCGAAGAAATTAGAGAATTACAGAGATGTTCGACCTTGAAGCACCTTGAAGTTAGCTAATTTTCCTATTTTTTTTTCAGCTTCTTCTTCACCGGGGAGCCTCGATTTATCTATACCGTTTGAGAGCTTTGAGTGGTTCGAGAAATGCGCCCCACCTGTGCGATAAAAAACACGAAAGAGGGGGAAGAGTTGCAACGATATGAGATACTTTTACGAGCGGTGCAGGATTTTTCGCGGGATACGCTCGCCAAAACCGGTGAGCGAAACTCGGTCAGGTTTTATGCGTTTCCGGCCACCGGTGTGATTGGTACGAGAGGAGTAAAGGGATCTGATCACGATCATCCCCTCTTACACTTTTCATTACGAATTTTTCTCTTTTTTTTTTGTGGAATTAAAATCGTAGAAGGTTTTTCATATTTAAAATTTGGCAAATGCTTAACGCTAGAACGATCAAAATGAAAGGATTTCATGTTTTTTTATCTTGGGAACGAGAAAATTGTTTTTTTTTTTTTTCTTTAGCAAAATCAATGCACTTTATTTTAATAAGATAGAAATGTAATTATATTAGGGTGTATCAAGTGCACTTTATCAATATATTTTATGTAAATAAGCAAAGAAACGTTATATAAACGTAGGGTGTTTAATATTATATTGTAATTTATGTTTGCTTATCATTAAATTAATTTTTGTTTAATATTAATTAATTTTAACATTGATTACATAACATTTTCTTTATATCTAAAGAAATACTTTGTGAATTTGTGAATTTACACAACTAGTTTTATTTATTCTAGTATATTCATAACATCACTTTAATTCACTATCATTTATATATAAAATATATATAAGTAATATATGAAATTTGTAATATCAAATTCTTATTATAGATTTAGTTACTTGTCAACAAAGGAGGAGAGATCGTTCGACAGTGGATTTCTTAGGAAATAATCGAATAAGGAGAGTTATCAAATTCTAAGCACGATTCGAGTCGATTGAATCGGGTGGAAGCCTGTTGAGCTATCATCGAGGTGACCCGTATATCTCCAATCCGGCGACTCCTTTCTTGTCACCGGCTCTCAGGCTCAGAATCTAGTTCCTCTGAGGATCCATTTGCAAGAGAGATGTACCAGAGCCAAGGGGAAGCCAATACGAGAGATACCATGCGATCAGTGGCCTATCAACCGGAGTGCTTTTGCGGCTTTTCCCTTTCCTCGAAGAAAAAGAAAATCATCGGTGGGATGACGTTTGATCGTATCGAGATCCTTGGATAAATCTCTCTGGAATTTCTGCTATTATTTGGCTTCCATTTCACGCCAATTATCTATCCTTTCTCTTCGGTGATTAATAAATCGGATTTTAATGCAAATATATATATATATATTTTATTGTGATAAAAAAATTAATTTTAAGTATCATAAAACTTTCAAATATAGCAGTGTCGATTATTCGAGATAAAAAATCAAACTATTTCTATCGAAGCATGCATGTATTTTAGTTTATGGGAATTACGTATAAAATTACTCATTAAATACACGAATACTGTAAGAATTGTAATTTGAAATGTATGTGTTATATATTGTACGTGTATATTATTATATACATATACAAGTAATTGTTATATCAATCAATATTGTTTCATGTAGATAGTTTCACTTCACCAATTTTGAATAATCGACGCTCTACTATATTGCATTCATTGTTAAAAATCTGTTAAGCCATTCAATTTTCGATTCTGGCAATCGACACAATGATGAGAAAGATCATTCGAAGCACTATTCTTAGCCAGTTTAAATAAAATATCATTGTACAAGGCTAGTACAAAAAAACGTAAAGCCAAAAAATGTACAAGTCCCTGATGTACGTCCGATTAAAATTCCAGCTATGTTCGATTTACGGTAGCATGAAAGCAGCTTGGTATCCTTTTGAGAACGAGCACCCATGGGAGTTGCATCCATCTCTGCAGCCATCGTCTCGCTCGTTTATCCGTGCGCGCCTATTTTATTTCCATATTTTCCTGCGCGGCGTCGCTCCTTGTGCGTTCGTCGCCTCTGGCTGGATGTTTCAAACGAGAGAGATGAGAGAAAAAAAGAGGAGAAAAAAATATAGGGGAAAAATGAACGAAGAGGAAATGATCCCTGAATCCACCCTTAGCCGCCGGCTATCATCCTTCCTCTCGGTCTAGTCCCGATAAACGACCAGACGAATTTCACTGCCCTCCTATCCGAGTCGAAATAGAATTTACTTGACACGTTAAGACGACGCTTTTCTCCGTTTTTTACATGATCTTGGCATTGGATGATTAAAAGAGGAGAGACGACTTTTATCTCTCGGAGGATAAAGTAAAGAAGAAAATCTCTTTACCGATGAAAGATTTGTATTTATTTATTTATTTATTTATTTGTCACATTTTGTTGTTAAATTAAGATTCAAAAATTTTGACAACTTCTGTAATAATGTAATTGTAATAAGTCAATTCAACTTTTTATTGTGTTGATGAATATTATTGATATAAGTGTACAATTATTTTTCAATTTTTTCTCGGTGTTCAAATTAATTTTAACAATCGGTATTGTTCTCCGATCTTGATGAATACGTTATCATTTTGAAGATGTGAAAATTTTATTTGGCGTTGTTTATTAAGAAGTTATTAAAAATAAAAAACTTTTCTTTCAAACAAATTTAATTTAGATCGAGTTTAATTTTAATCGGGTTTCTTGCTACAGAAAATTGATAGCTAGTTAAATAAGTTTTTATTTAATTTTCATTTTAAAATTTAGATTTAATATGAATCAATTGATTTCAAATAAAAATTATTTTATTATCATGATTTATATCGAGTTTGGGTTAAGTTAGGTTAGATTAATAACTTTTTAACGAACAACGATCGTCAAGTAAAACCTTCATAATACAATGTGACATTGTATTAAAAAAAACGATCGAAATTAAAGATACGTTTTTATAAATATTATTACTTGTCTTTTCTAGGACGTATAATTCACGTTAATTTATTTCATAATAAATCCAACTTTTTTAAGAAAGTAAAAAGATGAAATATAGGATAAATTGAAATACATAAATTTAGACTAAACGAGAAGTTGGAAAGTTTCAGAGAATTGATCGCCTCAGAGGGCAATATCTTGTCTTCGTACTAAACGAGGTAATCGCGAGCAGTAGGCGAACGTGCAACTTGTTTATACGCTGCAGTTGAATCTTCGTTGCCAAGTAGGGTCGGTTTGCCATTGGCGATTCGCCAGCCACGCGTAACAACGCCTCCAAATTCTCGATTTTCCATAACATAGCTTTACATTCTCCTAATTTTCGCCGTTATTCGAAACAAAATTCTCTTTTTCTTGAAATAAACAAATTTGAATTATGATGTAAATTATAATTTTTCCTAGATTTTCTATCTTAAATTAGTATCATTCATTATTTGAAAAAATTAATTTTTAGACCGATGAAAGATAGACTGAGGTTAAGCCAAATTTTCATTAAAACATTACATCCGTCGTAAGTTGGAAGATCGTCGATGATGTCGACATCTCGTTGCCACTTTGTAAATTGCAAAAATCTCACAAAGATGCGCCATTACATTACTGCACTAGCTACCAACCTTTTTCATTTTTTTTATACACTCGTTCTCATAGTGTTCTATTTCACGTTGCACCGATACGTTTCTGTATTTTGTTCAACAGAAATTTTCGTAAAATCGAATTTCGTTCGATCGTGAATATATGTATTTTTTCTTTTTTCCATTTTTTTTTTTCGATTGTTCTTCTATAACAGAGATAGTTTCGTACAGATGAATGTTCCGCTTTAAAGTTAAACTGGTCGTGAAGCTGGTCGGTACAGGATAAACTGGCACGTATGAATTTAAATACATTTTCATGCTACGCTTTTTTTTTTATCCGCTGCACAGTTTCGGTTGTAAAAGGATTCTTGTTAGCGATGTTACGCGCAGGAGGATGAAAGTAAATTTAAAACTAACAAAGAACTCTTCTAATAAAGTAATTATATACATGCATTAATCCTTGTACTTTTTGAACTTTTCCATTCGTGTCCTCATTTTTTTGAAATATTTTTTGACCCTAAAAATTCTCTCTCTTTTTTTGAAATTGCTTTTTATCCTTTAAAATCATTATCAAAAAAAAAAGAAAAATCAAAATTGAAATCATTCGATCTTTAAATCTTTGAATCTTTTGCATCGAAAAAGATCAAATATCTTCCATAACGAGATACTTTGCGTGTAATCGTTTTCAGTTGCAGAACTTTGTCTCTTAGTCGGTGTAAAGGGATTACACGAGAGATCAGAATACTTTGCAAATCGCCGCTTTGTTGGTTCACGAGACAACGCAGCCCGCGCGAAAAAGGATCCCCACGGTCACGTATACAACTCGGCAGTTCACGATTCCTATTAAATAAACTGCAAACTCGTGTGCAGCCTGCATTTAAGCGAACGAACGCGTCGTTGGCTGCCTGTTTTGTCTCTGTAATGGTGCAACGATGCTTTTGTACGCATGCAAGAACGAGCACCATTTTCAATTCCTCTTCTATCTTTCACCAATCCAGAATCTAGTTTCACTTATGGATTTTATAGAAAGATTCGAACGGAAACACAAAGAGAAAAGACATGAAGTAAATGGCATCGAAAGAGGTATCTGCGTTTATTTTTTTATCGATAAATTAGTGATTCTATTGAAAAAAATTAATCATGAAAACATGATTTTTAGATTTTTTAACCTAAAAGAAATTTAAACCTCGAAGATTTTTGTGTGTATATTTCTCGGTAACTAATTATTATTGTAGCAGTTGGTGATGATACGATATTTGAACAGAGTACCTCAGTAATTGTTACATTAAATGAAAGTCAAAATATGATAGTGTGAATTTCCAGCGAGTTGCTCTCAACGTTATATAAAGGATTAGTTATTACACATATGTGATGCTGCATATGGCTCCGGATGGAGTGTACGCGAAAGATGTTCGGTAAAATTTGGAAGCTTACTCGAGAATTTATCTCGAGTTGAACATGGAAGGAATTCGGGTTGGAGATGGAAGGTTTAAAATAATTTACAGAAAGAGGTAAAAGTAACTTGTATTTTGTGCTTTGAGGTTGGTTTCGAAGCCAGAGGAATGTATTCAAAAGTTGAGAAGCTAACATGTCTGATAATTATATTCAATGATTCAAGAAAAAAAATTTGTGCACGAGTTTAAAGAGAAGAAAATTTTTAAAATACTATATCGTATATTTTCGCCAAAAATTTTTCACAAAACTTCACTATGATAGAAAAAATTCCACTGCAATGTCATATTACATAAAAAAACTCTTTAGAAAATTATTATCTTTATCTATCTCAAGTTAAAAATTTCATAGTGATAGACGACTGAAAACACTTTGATTAACCTTTAATATTAACACGACAGCTGCCAAAAGAGTGAAAATAGTGAAAATAGTAGAAAAAGTATCGGTAATTCGCAGAGTGGTCGTAGCAGAACCGGAAGTGAAGAAGTCGAGGAATGGGTATAGAGTTTTGACCCAAATGGCCGACCAGTTGGCCGTTGGCCAGTTCCCTGTATCCATGCACTCGGCATCCAGGTCTTTACTTATATTTTTCGATATCAATTTCCACAGGACCGATAAATTAATCGGTTGCCAGTGGCGAATGCTCGTTGACTGCTTGATCGTAAAATGTTTACGCGCATCGTCGACGCTGCAAGAGAATTAAATTTGCCTTTATATCGTTGTCGAGAAGTTGGAGCAAGCTGTGAGCAACGATGTAAACGAATAGTTCGCTATGAACGGAGAAACTCAACAGTTACATGCTCTCCGCGCTCGTGAATTTCCCCGCGTCTCTTTTCTCTTGTTTTAAGTTTCTGCTTTGTAATTTTGTTGCAGTGGGCACGGATATTTTCATGAACCACGTTATTTTATGGTCGGGATGATATTTGATATAATAAAAAAGAGATTAGTTATTCAATGTTTATCTAATTATATTCTATTTATGTTTTATTCATAATTTCTTCATTATCTTTTTAATTAAATTGCTTTTACCAGCGATTATATTAAGTAATAATGTTCTTTAAATTGTTATTGTAAATATTACTAATTAATATGCTTTTTATTTTCCTTGTAAATTAATGATGATTATGATATTGTTTCAAAAAACGTCTTAAATTTGGCGCGAATTGTTATGTTGTGCGTCAGCCAATTAAAGCGCGTGTTATAATTTCAATAGGCTCCCATATCAGTTTCTATCAACGTCGCGTAAGTCAGTTACTGCGTAGCGAATTTTTCCGTTCTTTTTGTACTTTTTCTCAAGTTTATACCTAATTTCGAGTAGTGTTTCGTGAAAATATTGTTGTATAGTGAAAATGGAAGATGAAATCAGTTGTGACGATCCACAGTTTATGACTATGTTGGAAACCTGTCTACTCATGGAGATCGAAACATCCAAGAACACGTTTTCTGGTATGTTTTCTTTCTTATTTATTATCCTATTTCCGTTTCTCGTTGAAAATAATTATATTTATACATCAATGAACGATATACGATATTTATCGATATAATTACTTGAATATTGAAAGAACTTGTTGAGGCTAAATATCGAAACGATCGGTAATAACTATATCAAATATGACGTAGTTAAAATATCTTTTATGAAATTTAATATTTTATCGGCATTTCTTACTAATAACAAAAATAATTTATTGAGGATTTCTTTTTATTTAACGTAATAGATAATATTTATTTTATATCAATGCATTTATTTTCGTAATATTATCAAATGTAATTGCTCGAAGATTTTCTTTTGTAAATTTTCTCAAGAACTTGTAAGACAGATAAAAGACTTCAAAGTTAAAGTAAAGATGCAGTTGCAAACGAGGAAAGAATTGAAAGAAAACACAAAGAATACCCAAGAAAATATTTTAATTTTAAGCAATTCTCTGAGCAAGTATGTAAAAAATAATAATTTTTATAAAATATATCAATTACATTATATAATATTTGCAAATATGATATTTGAAACTATCTTTAATAGAGAAAGAAACTATATGATTGAAATTTCTAATAAAATCGAGCTAATGAAGCTTAATTTGGATAACGATTATAAAATTATGAAAGTGGATTGTGAATTTTATGAAAATATATACAACAATTACGAAAAAGTGTGGGAATCGTATCACGTATGTAATTCTCATAACCTTAAAACGCAATATTCGAGATAAGAAATCTAAAAGATAGAATTTTAACGAATTTCAATTGTGTTGTAGGCAAAATACGAAGAGTTCCCCTTGGCTAAGGACAGAAGAGAGGCGAAAATAAAAATGGAAAAGCTTCAAATCGATCAGATGGTCCTGCAATACAAAGTTAACGAATTCGAGAAGATTTTGAAGCAAAAGCAGCGGATCGCGTGGCTCAGAATGCGCGCGAAAATCATCGTGCTTGCGCGTGCAATTTCAAATTATACAAGACTGGTCGAAACATTGAAAGATCTTGATAGAAATGTCGACAAACGCAAGGAAGAGTTGAACACGATTGAAACGGAGGTATCTCGCGATGATTTTCAAGATTTTCAATTTTCTATCTGGTATATACAGTTCTTACAGCATCTTATTTTCGGTTCTTTTTAGCTAGCCATACAATTGAAGAAACAAGAGGAAGAAAAGAGGGATCGAGCGTTGAAACTGCTGGAAATGCCACCGCCAAAGATTAATTTCTCCCACATGCGCACGATTTACGGTCCTAGGCCGGGAATCGGCTTCCCAGACGGTTGGAAAAGAAATTATGAGAATTCCATAGGTGCACATTCTCGTTTTATCGTGAGATATTCTTTGGAAAAGGATTTTCAGAATTTTTTCTTTCCTCATACTAGGCGGTCCTAGATACTTAACCTCTTCATAAATATAATTTTTTCCTTACGAGAAGAAACGATCGCAATTATTAATTTTATATAACCGTAATTAAAACAATTAAATTGAATTCAGATACTCTATCGGTGGACACCCTGATGTTGGAAGAAATGTGCTTAACCGAAGAGAATTCCATACAACCACCATCCTGTATTGAAGTTCAAGCCCAAAATGATCGGAATCTTTCTTATGAGCAACCGATCGATTCAAGAAGTTCTTCCCCGGATCAAGAGCAGCAAGAAATGGAGAACGAAGATGTGGCCAGCGAAGTGGATGGAAATATAGACTCAGAACCGATCGATGCAGTCGAGGAGGAAATGGAACAACAAATGAGTCAGGAACTGGAGCACGTAGACCAGTCATCTGGTCTTTCCAAAGATAAGCAAACGGACCAACGTTGCAAAGATCTTGAAAAGGAGAGGGATGAACCGGTGGCAAAGAAAATGAAGTTGATTTCGAGCGCAGAGAAACCGATGGCATCACCAATGAAGGGTATTCTATTAGAGAGGACAAAGAGCTGTTCGGTCGAACCATCTCCTCCACGTCCAAGAATCTCGAGAATCGAGACAATTCATTACAGTGTGCCTTCAATTAAAAAAATTGAAAAATGTAATCTAAATTAAGTTATCTAGGAGGTTAAAAGTTTCTGATATATTCTGTTTTTTGAACAATCTATCTAGATCTAACATATTTTTATCAAATAATAATTTAGTCATTCCAAGAGAAATTCAAATTCCATTGATGAATCAATCTCCTGGATCAATAATAACGAAGATGTCTTCTATGCGGAAACTCGACCAGAATAATCCTAATCCTTCCAGTATGTTTACTCCTGGTCACTATGATTATTCTAATAATAGTGAAATAAGTTTTTGTATCGATGACAATATGACCGAATTGAAAGGTACGTATACTGTTCTTTAATTTTTTTTTATTCTATTTTCTTGATGAAGAATTTATCTTTAATTTGGATATTTCTTATTCAGCTGATCAAATATCGCTCTATGGTGGATCTGTTCGAAATTTTTGCGAGTGTCCCAATTTATCACCAATCAATGAAAATTTAAATCTAGAGGACAACGAAAACGTTCCATCGACTAGCAAGACTCGCAATTTTTCACGTATATACTTCTTATTCAACATATTCGTTAATTTTTTTCCTTAACTTTTATATACTTATCTTTTTTTTTTTCTTGCAGAATTTGAGAAAAAGTTCGACTTTAGTAATATTTTGAAAGGCAGTTCCAGCGGAAAAAATCTTTTCTAAATTTCAATCTTATCGAAGAGGATCGATAATTATTTAAGAGTCGTGTATTTCTTGTAAAATCTCATTTCGATGAAATAAAATCACGTGAAGTGAGAACAAATGAGATAATTTCTCTCTTGGAATGGTAATAAGACTGGTTCATTTTTCGTCTAGAGTGAATAATATTCGAGCGAAATTACGCGTAGTCGTAATTTTCACTCTCGACAGTCGGTGGAAAGCGACGGTTCCATCCTAAGAAGCCGGGAAAAGGAAACGTGAAAGACATAGACGGGGGTAGAAAAGAGGCACACGCCAGGCTGGAGAGGGAGAAAGGAAGAGCACTCGGCTCGACGACTGAAAAGTAGGTCCTTTAAAGCGCTCTTTTGTGTGCCACTCTTTAAAGACCATTGCCACTGACATTTAATCCTCTGTCTGAATGTTTGTGAATTATTTAAAGGACCACCGTGTAGTTAAACGTTGAATGATCATTTTATCGATAAATTTTGTAACGTAAAGAGAGATCATTATCAGAGTACGATAAATTTACTAAATATACAAATTGGATATTAAAAATAATGTAATTAAAATAAGTTTTGAACTTAATTTTCTAAAGATATTCAAAAGATATCAATGTTATAAAAATGTGGGTTGAAAAGAATATTTATATATATATATTTTGAATAATTTTTTATACGAATTTTAACCTAAAAAAAAAAAAAAAGAATTATTCTATTCATGTTTTCATTAACAGAACAGTATTTGCATGAAAGAAAAATTCAAAATGGCTATTAAAAACTAATAACTTTTTTTAAAAGAAACTTCAGTGAATTAATAACATGCGCATATATTCAAGTATAGAGTTTTTAAGAAAAGAATTTTTGCATTCAAATTAACTTTTCTCAATTTAAACATTTTCTTCATTTCAATGGTTGCTGAGATTCTGAATAATTCTAAAGAAAAATGATATATGGGGAATTGGATCCGATGAAAATGCAAAAGGAACAGAGAGATAAAATAGCATAAAGTTCCTTCCCTTCGATTCTCTCTTCTTTTTTTTTTTTTTTTTTTGGGTCGGAATTTAATGTCAAGCAAGACGTGCGAAGAATAACGAGTGAACGATAATTTCTTAATAAAACCGGACTAGCACCCCTTTCTCTGGCGCTAAATTGCTTTAACCGCTATAATTGATACAAATTAACCGGATTCGCGAGGAGAATTCATTGTAGTCGCAAGAAGAATATAGCGAAATTTGTTATTACCCATTGTAATTCTTCTGCAACCAGTATCTGATTTCCTATAATTCATTATGAATGCAATTTATAAAAGTAATGATATTTGTTGGTGATATATGATATCATCGGTTTACTTCCGAACTTCTGACGTCGACAAAAATACATTGGTAAATTTAAAAAAAATGATATAAAGAGAAGAAAGGAGGGAGAGAAAGGAAATGGAAGAAGCGAGCTTAAGGAAATTCATAATTGTACCAGTCAGCATCTTTAATGAAAAATAGAAGCGAAATGTCTACAACTCTGGCTTTAAAGAAGATATCTTACTGCGAAGGATTATTGTAAAAGATAGTATAATATTGGAATTGAAAACTAATAAAATTTTAAGGTTTGACTTTTTGAAATAGTATCATCTGTATCAAAAATGGTAATTCCATTATGCTTATAATAATATTCTGTTTCAATGTTTATTATATAATGGTGAATCATGATTATTATTTTTCCTGTAATAATTACAATATACTATCAAGTTATTAATTTTAGAAAAACTAAGGGACTTGTTTGAGTCCATTTAGGAAAAAATCTTTCCAAAAAATTATTTATTGTTATTTTTAATCTTAGAATTTATAGAAAAATTAGATATTAATTAGATATATAAAAATTAGATATTAGATATATAATTAGATATATTTCTTTCTATTTTTTTTATCTATTTTTCTAAGATAAATATTTAATTCTATTATTGCATTACGTTTTGCAATCTTATATCAATGTCCACGTTCAAACGTTAGCCCAAACACCATTTTCTTCAATTTCGCTGACCACTCGTTCCATTTTCTATTCCACAGAGTCAAACCTGTTTTTCTTTCCGGTTCGAAGTTCCGGTTCCACGATTACGTGACTGGAATCTGGCCTTGCCATTGGCACGTCATTCTTTCCCAGTCGCTGGAACCGGAAGTTCTTCAACTTGGATTACTCGCGAAATCCCTCCAACTCGCTACAGCTTCATCGAATCCAGTGAGTACACATCGACTTCACTGTTTTACCAGCAGCTCCTTTGTTCTTTTTTTCCTTCATCATCATCATCGATGGACATAAAAAGAGTGCGGAATAACGTCTGAATCAGGTACTTACGACATTTTATGACTCTGTCCCTTGAATTACGATCGGTGCAAAAATAGAGATGCTGAACAACTGAGTCAGCTTCTTTCACAGAAAGATTTTAGTGATTTTAAAAGAGAATGTATTCTGATATTTTTACTTCTATATCTCGATTTAAAGAATTGTGGAATATTGGTAAGGATAAATAATTGAAATGAAATTACAGATTGATTATTGGAAAATAAAGCTTTTGATTTTGGTTCGAAGTTAGGAAAAATTTGCTTTGCCAATATTTTATGCATTATTATTATTTTCCACGAAAATTACAAAGAATTCGAGTGCAAATTCGAAATTTCATTTGAAAATATATTCTAAGAAGAAAAAACGATTTTTAAAATAAATTTTTCATCATCCTTTTACCACCTTAACTTAATTTAATTCTCGTTTGACAAAACCGAATGACTTGATTCAGACGATATAAATAATATTTAATATCTGCTTTATGGTCAACGTTAATAAAATTCCAACAAAGTTACGAATTTATAAAATTTTCCAACAAAAAGTACACATTATATTATTAAACCTCATTTTTCAGTCCACCAGACCAATTAACCGAGTGGCACGTGAGGCGAAAATATAAATCGCGATGTATTCCAAGCCCCAAGCTAGGTTTCATGGCGATAAGCCGGTCGCCATACTAGAATAATATATCAAAGTCCGCGAAAATGTGGATCGCAGTATGGTTGTGCAATTATTTCGCAATGAATCAGCCAGCTTGATCAACGTTTATCCCTTCTGTAAATACATCGTCAACGCATTGTCTCACGAAACAGTCATTATAATGAGGCTAATAAGATCCCGGTGGGGAGTACGACTCGGTAAATCATCGTTATCAAGAAGGAATTTTGTAGAGGGAGCACCGAACGCGCGTGTATAAATTCGCGTGGCGTTTAACCGCGTGCGCGCGCATCCTAAACCCGAGTCGTAAGTTTCGGTTAATTATGGCGGCAGTAGTTAAGCCGGGTTACATTGTGGGTTACTGATAAGTAGAGATCGAGAAACTAGTGGAGGAAATTTTGCAGTGTGAAAATAACGATTCCTTAATCTTTTATATATATTTTAAATAAAAACACGCGAAAGAATAAAATTGGGATATTTTTAATTCTGAGATTAGCATTTGATTTCTCGGTAAACGATATTTTCTTTATTTAGAGTAAAATTAATAGTAATTGATATATTCAATTGTCAAAAATCTTCTGAATTATTGTTTTTGATAAGTGTAGAAAAGAATCGTGTAAAACGATAAAAAGTGCAAAGAAATTCAAAATAACGATGCATACGTTTGTATACAAAAGAAATATATAGAAATTTCTTTTTCAACTTTCACATTTCTTCGTGAGAATTCGTGACCACCAGAATAAAAGATTCTCATGGTGCATACGTTTACATTAATTGTATCGAATATATTACACTAACCAAAATGAGAATATTTTAACATGTTTTTTATTGCATAAATAAAATTTTTACACAGTGCAATTACATTTATATATCGTGAACAATTGTATAATTAACAATTATAAAACAAACAATGTATCAATGAGAATCAACCAATTTCGATTAAATGTCTCGAAGGATGTTTGTCGAATTTGTAATTTCGTATCGAAGGGAACATACGTCACGTGACGTAAGGATTAATCCAGCTCGTAGAGGGCACACGACATCGTTCCGCCATTTGCCGTAAATAATTCGAAGCTGGTGAACTGGGTTCCACGCGATTTAACCCTTCTCAGCGTAGAGGGACACACATCTCGTGACGCGACAACAATGCTAATAGAATCATGAAAACATTGTGTCTCGTGCGTGAAATAAGTGAAAATCTGTTTAATCGTCCGTGGAATATTCTTTTTATATAAAAAATGAAAAAAAAAATCGAATAATATTACAGAATATATCATAATTTATAAATTCGTGAAAAATTCGAATTGAAAAGAAATTTAAATCAGAAATTAGAATTTAAAATTTTATTTGAAATAGGATTCTCAGTTTCCTCGTCTCGTATTTCGCTATAATTAAATAGAATTGTAGAATTCACGATACAAAGTCGATGTAGCGATCCAATTTAAAAAGGACGATTTTGTAAAAGTTTGGGGAATAAATTTTGAAAAATATAGAGGATGAGATAACGAGCGTCGACAACAAGATCCATGACGAAAGATGTGGAGATATGTTATCCCTTATTCGGATAACTTGCTATCGACAGAACGTGGCAAAATAGGAGTAGTTTGTCCGGGAAATCCACCAGAACGTCGTTTCTTCTTCGATCCTTTAATTTTCGTGATTTATCCTTTAAGAAACATCTTCTCATATTTTCGCGGATTTATTATCGAAAAAGGAATTCGAAAAGAATCGAGAAAAACTAAAAAATGAAACGAAAAAAAGGAGAAAAAAGAAAATTTCATTTATTTTAGCGAATTTTATTATAATTATTTATAATAAAACGAACACGCAAGCCCTCTGATATAAGCTTATTTATAATTTCAGCATATAACATTCTATAATCTTGGATACGGCGTATCCATATATTTCGTATCTTTCGTTACGAACTTTCGTTTGGACGGTTGGAGGGGAGCAAGAAGTTTGCGGAGAAAGGAGAGGAAAGGCGCGAGGAAAAATATTTGCCTGTTTGTTCGATGTAGAAGGAAGGAAAACAGAGAAATTAACGACACGAGTTTCTATCCAACCTTTTCATCGATTTACTTTTTTAAAAGTAGTAGTTGGATAGTGATCATGGAAGAAACGTCTCGTTCTTTTTTCGTTAGATATCGAAGAAACAATGGAACATGAATGGAGAAGGCAACGAGATTACCCGTTAACCTAGTTTCCAGTAAAATTGGGCCACAGGCTATCTTCAATGTAAGTAACTGAAAATGTTCCCTCGAATATTTTCTTCGATATTTTACGAAGATTGTAAAGTCGAATAAAATATTTCTATTAAAGGAGAACGTTTCAGAGTATTCTATTATTACGTTTATCGTTGAATTCTTTAGATCGTGTACAGCCAATCGCAAAAGATTTGGAAGAAATTCAGCTAGCTTGAGAAAATCTATACGAACATGGAATATATTGAGATATGCATGATTGATTCGTAAAATTGATCCTTGGATTATTGTCATACGGTCTCAGTTCAGGTAGAGTATTATAATATTGGATATACTACAAAATTATATTTTAAGAAACGAAGATAATAAAACTTTAAAAATTTAAAATCTTCATTTGGAACGATTATGAAGACTACTACTAATATAAAAAGAAAGTGGAACAAAAGTGGAACAATCGCATACGATAAAATCTTGGATTGGTTAGGTTAATTAAAAGTTAGGTTATTTTGTCAAGTTGTCTCAGGTAGTATTATAATAGAGTATTATAATATTGAATGTTGCAAAGTTATATTTTAATATAACTATAAATAATAAAACTAATAAAATTATATTTTAATTTTAAGGAACGAAGATGACTATGAAGACTACTATTAATATAAAAAAAAAAATTGGAACAAGCACGTATGATAAAATCTTGGGTCGAAAAGTTAGGTTAGATTAGAATCTTGCAACGTCGAAACATTAAACATGACTGGCGTTTTAGAAATTATCAATCGTGCGTATGGAAGTATCATCACCGCGTGGTCGGTTAGAATGGATCTACGGATGAAAAGCCACGAATAATTAAACTCCAATTAACGTAGCACGCCCCAACGAGGCGAAACGAAACGAGAGAAATGAAATACCTTCGTATTCGTTTCACGTTTCAACGGGAGCCCACGGTTCAACTTACACTTGCACCCCTCCCTAACAACCCTTGCCCTGGGTGCACACGATACTAAACGCCGTTCTATCGATCTCGCCATGTTTCCCATTACCGCAAAACCGCCGCCAACATAAAACAACCGCGTTTCCTCTTATTGTCTCCGCGCGACCGCCCGACAACCGCCATGGAAAACACCCTACGCGATTATAAATGCGACACTGGCTGCCTTAATATTCGCACGTGTTACGGATTAAACGAAGTGAAGGGGAATTCACGACTCTTGGCAAGAATGGCTGAGGAAACGAGATATTTTTGCATATATATAGAGTATATCTTGGAGAGTGTTACTGTGAAATATAAAAATAATACGAGGTTGGTTATATTTTTTGAATTTTCAGTTTTTTTAAGAAAATAGAATATTGGTATTATATATATATATATATAAAACTGATATAATTGAGTTTATAAAATATTTTTTAATTTTTTCTTCGACTTTTCGTTTAAATGAGAGAATATTTTTCTTTCCTCTCAATTCATTTTTGTACGTAACATATTAGAACATTTTTACACTTGTACTTAGAACAGTCTATATATACGAGTTTCAATTTGCAGATAAAGCGACGAAGGGATATTAACTGCTAGCAATTTCGAAGAAATATTTTTTTGACTAGAAACGTGCGAAGTACTAGAGAGATTTGAAGACGTAGAATAAATGGAGACGTCGATGGAAGGTAATTTAAGCGTCTGGAAATTCTATGGGATGCCACGTTCTCGTTGAAAATCGATGCTAGATTACGGAACTAATCTGGCATTCATTGACAAATTACCAACTATTATTACCAACCATACTGCTCCATATTGCATTAAAATTGTTCAGCATTTACTCGACGGATTTCCAATTTACAATTCTATTACCAGAAGACTAGTAAAATTATAAATTTAATACAAGAAATAAATTAAATTCATTCCATTCGGAAATTTTATTATTCAAAGACTAAAATTATAAATGTATATATAATTTTAATAAGCTTCGAAATTTTGAATATCCATATAAGGATTAAAATTATTCCATTCACAAATTCTATTATTAGAAAACTACTAATATTGTACAACCAACAATTCTATCTACAAATTCCATTACCAGAAGATTACCAGAAAATTACAAATGTAATAAGTTTTGAACATCCACGTAAGGATTGAAATATTATTCCATCCATTGAAAATTCCAGAAGAATCGCAAATTTTATTTACAAAAGACTATTACAAAATGAAATCATAAATTTAAGAATTTTCAAATTTCAAAATATCCGCACAAGAATAAAAATCATTCGTAAACACGCATTTAGCCAGAATTGAACGAACAAAACATAATAAATCCAACTCCCTTCGATTCCACTTGATTTCACGATACGTACGTACACTGCGCTCCACTCGATACCTCGAGAATCTGAGGACTGGAGAGCGCGATCTTTTTCATCGAATCGAAACAATAATTAGTCGGAGATTCGCCGCTTTTCACCGAGAAGAGGATACAATCGTCCCTTCTCCCTTTCGCTCTTCCATGTCGCCAACATTCCTCGCTCGGCTCATTGTCGCGAGGATTGAATGCGGTAACTGATCCTCTCATTGTTCCCGCGATCGAAACTCCCTCGTTTCAAACTCGAAACTCGTTCCACCCTCTATCATGATCGTAGCCTAGGATCCCAAAGACTTTCCGCTTCGTTACACTTTTTCTCCTTTATTTCTCTCTCTCTTTCTCTGTATTTGTTTATCCTAACCCTTGACGGTCTTCTCGTTTCGTTAGCCGCGTAATCGAATTTCGTTTGCTCCTTCGATAAGGGAATACGATGGATTTTTCGTCATTGTTTTCGATTCTTCGAATCAAAGGAAAAAGAAAAGAAGTTTCTTAGAAACTTGGCAAGATACGAATTAATGTTATTGGAAGGAATGTAATGAATAGTTACAATTTACGTAAAACAATATGTATTCTTCTTTATCCCTTGTTGATAAAGTTGGGCATTAACTGAAAAAATAACTAGTTAAAAATCGAGTTCGTGATAAATCCTACTTCTAATTATACTGATAAAGTAAAAGATGTCTAATTGAGGATAGCATTAAACGTAAATCGATAATTAATTGTTTAGTTGTTTGTTTTGAACGATTCGATTTCAACAAGGAGCAGTCTGTGTATTTTTGGCTTCTTCGACCATTTTATACACTGCTCATTCAAATAGCAATGTCTCTTATCTAATCAGATTCCACAAATTCTAAATTACTTATCTCGCTCTCCAACTTACTCCAGCCATTTGTAACTCGGTGCATACCACTTCTGCATTACATTCCATTTAAATTTTAAAGGCTCGCTTTGAATCAGATTCTTCAGAATAGAGAGAGATCGACGAATATTTGCCTCTCTCTATCTTAAGTCCGTCGCGCGTCGGACGAGACACGCAACATAGTTATTATCCAAAGTTTTGCCGGATGAAAATTGGGGGCGTCGCGGATAACTCGATTTACCAGTCGCGTCTGCCCTGCGCTTGTGGCGCCGCTTAACTCGATCCACCACCGTGGAAGAGCGAGTCGTTCATCAACCATATACTCACGAGAACACTGTCGTGGCTCGTCGCTGCCGTCTCCACAGTCGTTGACAGCGTTGCACGCTTTGTTCAAGGCGATGCACCGCCCGTTCCCGCATTGGAACTCGCTTTGCCGACAGGAGAGCACCGTGGTCGCCGTTAAAACGCAAATCAACACCAACCAATTCGCGTCTGAAACATATCGATTAATCGGTATAGAAATAAGATCGATCATAAAGAAGAAATATCGATGTATAATAAAGATGGAGGAAATTTTAAGGTTAGTTGAAGTTGCGAGTATAAAATTTTTAGTTTATGTACAATTTTAAACGAATTTTATTATTTAATTTTTATTTTTAATCAAATACTTTTTCAAGGGATTAGTTTTTGATTGATGTTATTGTTATAGATCGATGGAAAAGAATGAAACTCGATTCTGAATGTGATTGAAAGTTTTATTCGAAAAGGAAAATTGGAAGTGGTAATTTTTTTTTTATTAATTTTAATTACTAATAAAATTAGTAATAAAATCACGATAGTTTCGCTTGATCAAGAACGTTGGCTCAAGATAATACTGTTCCATTTGTCTCGTCAATTAATTTAATTTATTTTAATTTATCTGTCCATGACAATCTTAATCCATTTTCCGAGATACTTGTTACATTTCACTCGTCCAGCTACAACCATCCTATTCTACTTGTTTCACTAAGTCCAAGTTAATCTACAGAAATGGACAAAATTTTGAAATTAAGAATAAAGTCGAACGATTATAAAACGAAAAACGATTATTAATTATATCATTCGAAATTTCAATTAATTAATTACTATTAATACTTCAATTCACTTGTTGTACGATCACGATAGTCTCGATTTCACTTATCCGATGATCTGTTTCACTTGTTTGGTACCGTGACAATCTTGATCCATCGATTCGATAATACTCGAATGTCGAATGTCCTAATCTTGTTTAACTGATGATACACACGTTTGATGTTTCAGGATCAATCTTTCGTGAAATACTTCGAAAAATGCAATGATAAAGTATTGAAGACGACCGTTTTTTCAATGTAACGTTGTTTTGCGAACTGCACAGAACGTTCGAACGTTAAGATACAAGAGATAAGAGGTTGTTTGCGCGAAGGGAAGCTGCAAACAACGCATCCGTCTTCGCAGTTTCCGGTGGAGCAGGCGTGAAATTTATCATTGATTCGCGAGCCCGCCCTTTTTTCCATCAAACATCTTTTCGCTCGAATTGATTTAACCATCGGTTTGCAACGTTCGTGACGTTGCTCGAGGTGGGAATAAGACGAGCGATTTGTCCGTATGATTGACAGTGAAATAGATCCCGAATGATTTATCCTCAAGGGAGATACGCGCCTGCTGGATTCCATTCAACGTATTATGGCACAATGGGTCACCGAAGATGATGTTCCAGCTTTCAAATTCAACATTTTGAAAATAAGATTAATCTGTTAGGAGACATTGACGCGCATTCTTTGAACTAAAATTTGACGGAGAAGAGATATTTTGGCAGATTATTGCAGAATCTTTTAATAATAAGAAAAAAAAGCTTGATAATATTTTATAACAATTGTTTCAAAATATTCTAACGATGTTTTTGATAACATCGAATTGTTGTGCTATAAACGAAATAATAGTTTTATCCAAAATGATCCAAGTTCTAATTTGATCTAATTTGATATAGCGTGTGACTTGATATAAGTAAAATAATAATATCATCGAAGAATGTTTTCGTGGCTCAATGGCTATAGTCCTAGTTTTTCCACCAAAGAGACCAGTGTTCGAATCCCACTCACCCACCATCCAAACAATTTTTCGTTTTTCTTCGATTTTTCCGTTTGGAATCCAACATTTCCCCGTATTTTTCTCCATTTCACGCGAAATTTTTCCAACGTGGACGTGAAGTAAATAGTCGAAGGAGGTCAAGCATTGAAGAGCAGGAGAAGAGAGAGTAGTGTGCGTTTCGTGGAATTAGTAGGACGAGCAAAGAGGGGAAGTGGTGGAAAAGAGAGAAGTAAACGGGGAATAGAAGAGAAGAAGAAGAAGATCGATAAAGGAACCCGGATATCGAGGCACGTCCTCTCGATTTCCGGCATCAGCTGGAAATCGTCGACGAACGATGAAGTCCAGAGAAAATGATATCTCTTCGTACTACGTCGTTCGACGAGCGCTAGTTTTTCCTCCGCTTCTGACTCTCTGGTCACGTATACGATCCTCCACGTACTCGAATTAATTCCCAGTAGATTGTGTTACCAGTTTTCTCGTGGAGGAAAAAAATCTGGGTTACTATGTCCTCGATTCTTTCGTAACGTCGTCGAATCGCCTCTTTCTTTACGGCTATTCATTAAAGCACGCGCATAAAAGAGTATCCTCTAAAATTGTATAAATCCACAACCACCAGATTTTATCTCTCGAGATTTGCCTTGTATTATATTCAAAGACTCGGGGAAGAGAGATTCTTGAATTTCGTGAAAGACAAGCGGAGAAAAGAAGAAGTTTCCTTCTGGAGAAGAAGAATACGAGAAGAATCGAAATTAAAATTAACGGATAAAGAACGAAATCTTGGGAAGTTCCTCTCCGTAATGAGTAATTTACATGAAAGTTCGTGAAGATATTTCCAAGCCTGGAAATTCTGGTTGAAATATCCTGGATGACGAAGTTTTGGCGGATATTTTCCACGAATTTTCCTCTCGCTCTAATCCAACTGTCGGTAAAGAAGTTGACCGAACGAACATTTTATCCATAACTCTATCGTTAGATTTCAAGGAATCGATTAAATCGATGATATATTGTACTGGTTCGATTTATATGGGACGAACGTTTAATTATATTTACTTTTGCCATTTCCTTATACTATGGATATAAGAATTTCTATTAGCCACTAATGAAACGTATTATCGTACGATAATCTGGATAGAGAAACGTTTACAAATATTCGATTCGCCTTCGTTTCGAACTATTTCTCCCTACGAAGCGTTTTCTTATTCGATATTCGAATCGATGGCAGAAGCGATCGGAAAAGGGGAATTTTAGTTTCCAACAAGCAGAAGCAACGGGACGTGCAATTTCTTTCCTGGCATCCACTTTGGTGGAAAACGAGAGAGAGGAAGAACGAGGAAGAGAGAAGGGACGTGCGAGGGCGAGGGACCGAAAATCGAGAAAAATTCAGAGGGCAATTATTCGAACGAGCAGGCGAAAAATTAAACGGTTCGAGGACACTAGAAATAAATACTTTCTCCCGCCATCCACTCTTTTCAAGGGTGCTGGAAAAATTACAAGTATCGAGGAGACTTTGAAAAAAGAAGAAAAAGAAAGAATACACTAACGGAAAAAAACATATTCACCTTTTTCTCGCTCGTCGAAGAATTAAATTTGTGCAGAGACGCGAGAAATTTTTATCTCAATTTTTATGGGCTATTGTTTTCGACGTGAATGTGAAAGGAAAAAAAGTTATAGTATTTTATGAGGCAAGGAATATCATCACGTTTATATATTTCTTGGAAAAATAAGTTAATAACTCGGTCTTCTTACATCTTTCTTTTTCTTTTTTTTTTTTTTTTGTTACTTGTCCGATCGATCTGTTTTCCACTTGTTTTATCATTTATATTCCTCTATTCGTCCGTAACGTTACAACACTTGAAGTGGAACGATACAATCTCAAACAACTCAAAAGAGTCTCAACTTGTTTTACCATTATCATTTTCCAATCGTGACTCAATGTCTTAATCGAGCGATAATCAAATATCCATTCTCGTTCACACACTTCTATTCTGCGATAATAAATTCTGTTCGTGTATAAGAATTTCCATCGAGGAAAAGGATGATCGATCAATTCTCCAAAAACTTGTCCAAAAGCAAACTCGATTATTAATCCGAGTTAGCTGACTCGCCAGGAAATTATTAAGCGTGGACCGTGTGCTCCCCTTTATCCTGTTTGCTGATCCTTTATTCATCAGCCAACTCGAGTACGAGGCGTGGGGAGGGGGGCGTGGAAGAAGCGGCGCAAAGAGAAGGGATTCTTTTTTCTTTTTTCTTTTTTCTCTCTTCTTCCTTTAAATCGCGATGACGCATATATTCGTATGAAAAGCGCGGGGAGACAATGGAATCGCGACACTTTTGGCCGCAAACGTTGTAACGAAGTGTGATCGGGGATAGAATTCGATTTTCACGCGTTTGTCGTTCCCAGTCGCAAATCCTTTCTGCAGAAGCTGTCAAAAATTTTGTAACGCTAGCGCTCGCTCGAGTGTATCCACTCGTTGCTACGCTTTTTCATTCTCCCTTCCCCCCCCCCCCGCCCTCTCTCCTCTCTCCTCCTCCT